TTCAGACAACGAGTTGTAGTTCAGAAGGCAGGCTCTATGAGAGTTGTGACACAAGGTGCATATTCCAAGGGCTGAGTGAAATTGTGTCAGTGCATCGAGGAACTACATCCTATGGGCAGCTTTAATAAGTTAATTTAACAAACTTCTAGATCAATATGGTTATTAAGAGTGGGGTAGAACTTATGGAAATTCAATATACAAATACATAATTATTTTTAGCTTTTTATCCTAGGCACCATTTAAATCGTAATCTGTGTCTCTGTATGATTAATGGCCGTTATGGACTGGCCTAAATACAGATTATTAGAACTGATATGAAGTAATATAGTAAATGATGTAACTATTTACTACTGGAATAATGAATAGTGGGTTTATGCTGTAAACCTGATTCACAGGTTTTTAATCTGAGATGAGAGGGAGCTGCTGGATCTATCCTTACATCCATCACAAATAATTACACAATGTATATTGGTTTTGTACAATTGTTTCATTATTTAATATGACCATGACTAAGAAATAAACTTAACTATATTTTTTGCCTGGTAAATTAGAAATGTTGCTTATAAACACTGTATTTTTTCCATATTTTCCTGCTTCCTCGTTTGTATAAATGCTGTTTATAGAGTTCAATAGCTCAAGTTGAAAATTACAAACACAAATGAAAGAGTCAGAGGAGTGACTTCTTCCCTAAACAATGGCTATATCTGAGGCTTTAATGAGAGACAGCATGCCTGAAAGGAATTTACTTCATCTGTTCTCTTTTTAGCGAATTCACAGCACTCAATCATATATTAAATGTGTATTTGTAAAATAAAAAAGATCGTATGTATAGTGCAAAAAAAAAAAAATCAAGAAAACTGCCCTTAGAAATGCCTTGCAGCCATCGGTGGTGCGCATGCATGCACACAGAAAAGAGATGCAAAGAAGCTGCAGAAGATCAGCATCATGGAGATGCAACTAAGGATTTAAAAAGCTGAAAAGAAGTATTATATCTTTAAAAAGGAGCCACTGTATATGATGCATAGTACTAGACCTAATTTAGTAAGGATTTACATCTACTTTATACAAAACCACGTGTTTTGTATTTTACTTTGTATTGCATTCTCCTGCCCACCTTCTTACATATTCCTTCCCAGCCTCCCTGCATCCTGCAACTGGAAGGGGTTTAAAGCAGTAAGGGATTGGCAAGAACTACATTGACCTATGTTGCACCATTCACTGCCCCTTTTGCAGAGAGCTCAGTGTCCTTAAGAGCACAGAGGGAGGTGGAGAAAATCTATAAGGCCCCTTTCACACATTCAGGAGGGGATCCATGCACAGATGACCTGCTGATGGCAACAGATATCACCATTGTGACTATCATGTCCGTCTAGTTTTTTCCTGAAACTGAAATTACCAGACCCATGTTGGTCTATGGAGAATCGGATGAAAATGGACTTGTGCCTGTTTACATCAGACTACCCCCAATCTGGCACAATCAGGCCCAGCAAAACAGATCGCAGATTGAAGAACAGCTTTCAGTGCCAGGCTGCTGTAAACAAAGCAAGCAGAGTCCTGTCTTGCATTAAGAAGGGAATGTATTGCAGGGACAAGTCTATAATTTTGCCACTTTACAGATCACTGGTTCGGCCACATCTGGAGTATGCGGTCCAGTTTTGGTCACCGATACTCAGAAAGGATGTCCTTGAGCTGGAAAAAGTCCAGAAGAGGGCAACCAAACTCATTAAGGGGTCTGAGGATCTGAACTATGAAATGAGATTGTTAAAATTAAATATGTTCTCGTTGGAGGTTAGGAGATTAAGGGGGGGACATGATTTTCATGTATAAACTATTCAAGGGTGACAGCAACCTTAGTAAAAAACTGTTTACGGTCAGCTCTGTAACAAAGACCAGAGGGCACAACCAAAAATTGGTGGAAAATGTTTAGGGGTTCTTCACAGTTAGAGCGGTTAAGGTCTGGAACTCGCTGCCGCAGGAAGTGATTTCAGCTAAGAGTGTTGAATCATTCAAGAGACTCCTGGATGAGTTCCTTGGAGACCATAATATATAGGGGTACAGGTACTGCTAAGAGAAAAATCACACATGGACTCATATACAAGCACACACCTGCTCATAAATGCATACACGCAATAGGTTGGACTTGATGGACTTATGTCTTTATTCAACCTCAAATACTATGTAACTATGTAAGATGATCCGGCTGCCCATAGACTAATGTGGGGCTTCTGAACAGGTCTGCCTGAAAAACTGACATGTAGACCTGATCAGAAAGCCCGTGCGAAAGGGCTCTAAATCAGAGCAGATCAAGGCAGAGGTCACTACAAAAATACTATGATGGTTGAACAAAAGCTCATTTTCTGATTTTGCTCCTAAAACCTACACCTATGACTCTGTTACTAAAAATATATTTAGCTGTTGTATAAGACCCAAATGTTTAATAGTCCTACAAACACATACCATTTAAGAATTATTCTTAGAATTAATTACAATTACAATTAAATAACACAGAAAAAAATTCCACAAAATACATTGTAAATGTAGCTTATATTTAGATATGAGCAGCCCCAGTTTTGTAAAAGGGCTTCTTTAGTGAACCATTTTTCTAGTAGCCCAATTATCCATACTACCATTTTCCTGGGACCATACAACCTGTGTTTTCTTACAACAATATGTAAATCTGACAATCTGCAGAAATATTTTAAAAATCCAAAACCTGCAGGCTGAGCGCTCAAGCGTATCAGAGCAACACAGGAGAATTCAGGGATCAACAATGAAATACTCGAGGGACGCATTTATTGTAGTGTCTAAAATAAGAAACATCTGTTTTACTGCACAGCAACCAATTAGATTCAAAACTGCAATGGAGAATTACAACTGTAAAAATACATTTTGTATCCGCTTAGTTTCAATGAGGTCATATAGTCAGATCTTCTTTTATAAATGTAATTAAGCCGTCTAAGACCAAATACACATTTGTATAAGTATATAAGTAAAATTTGGAGTTAAAACTAAACTTCAGACATTAAAAGTGCAGTTTGCAAACTTGGAAATGTAGCATGGAACAAAAAGCAACAGTCAACTTGCACAGAGCTTTTGTTTTCCATTCAGGCATTGCCTGAGAACACTAGGCCACCATGCTGTGTAAACTCCTCTGGTCACTGGGAGTTTGGCATTTTGGGAACACCTAATTCTGATCCTGTGACTTTTGCAGGTGGGAAATCAAAGTCTCTCCACAATCTAATTATGCACACTCATAATTATCCATAACCATCCCCAGTTCACCCTTACAGCAGTGTATGAAGAGCTGCATGCAAATATAATGGGAGGTGAGAGATACTTGACAGCATATATTTTGCTAGCATAATTTGCAAGAAGCTACAGTACTGCAGAGAGGAACTCTAAAGTCCCGTTTAAAGTGTTATGGTAAAATCATCATGTATCATCAATGTATTGATATACTGTGTGTGTTTTCGGATTTGTCGCATTACTTCCCAGACTTAATGACCCATTCTCCTTATTTGGCTGATCTTTCTCTTAAATGTCTAGGACTGGCAATAATGCAGCAGCTACTACAATGGGGAAGATGCATCTTCATTATTTGGTACTGTATTCTTGAGTGTCTAAGAGAGACACATGCTCCTAGCATGCACTAAGTGTCCCAAGAAAAGCTAAGTGTACCCACCAAATGAGTATAAAACTTTGAGATTACTGCAGTGCACTGGCAGAGTCATAGGGGATGACTTACTAAAGGCAAATAGGCAGTTTTCCCCTAGTTTAGTGAATGTGGTGAAAATTCACTTTGCAAACAATATCCAAACACATGCAAGGAATTTAAAAAAAAAAACTTTATTTTTGCTTGCACATGATTGGATGATGGACGTCAGTAGAACTTCCCATTATTTACTAAGCTAAAATTCTCTTGCAAAATGAACTGCCTATTTTCCATTAGTAAATCAACCTCAAAGCCTGCAGCACCTAGTCCATAACTGGTTTTTCATACCTATTCATATAAATTGCTCCTGATGTGATTCAGCACTGAAAGAGTCCTGAACCCACATAGGCACTGGAACCACTTTTGCCAGTAAATAAGCCCTAAAAGTAGAACTATATAAAAGGAACAAATTGCTAGCAGTAAGGTTGTGTACAATCTAAGAAAACATTCACAGTTTCTTCTGCTATAAATGCTTCTTACCTGTCTGCAAAGTAGTTTCTTTACATTGTACACTGACCCATGCATGCACAGATTAGTATTCAATCTCAGCATGCATTAGTTGCAGGGATGAATTAACTCCCATGCACATAAGCAGGGGTTGCATCATCCCTAGATGGCTGAAGACTCCAAACCCAAAAGAAGCAATTAGCAGTAGCAAAATTGTGGACGTCTCATCACTATAGGGGAGTTAAGTTCCCTCTTGTGGATATAAAGTTTACACATTTGCGAACACAGCCAGGAGACATTCTGTTACTTAATTGTGTCATATCTTAGACAGCATCTTAATCAAAGAAATAGATGCTGACACTGGATAATTCATGCACAAAGCCCTGTCCTGGAGAGAAAAGCAGGTGAAGGCATTGTCAAGCAAAGTCCTGTGATCTCTGTGAGAGGTAATACCTACAGTATCTGCAAGTCTTACACTTAAACATTACTTAGCATGCATGAATACTTAAAAATAAATTTTGTCTTCAAGGGATGCTGGTGGTGGGAATATAAGAGGTCTTATCATATGCCTGATGTCTTTTTACCAATAAAGTATATTAATGCCAGTGAGGTGATGAAGTAAGATAGTTAAAATGATATCGCTTTGCATGACCTGTTAAGTTAGGTGGTATTCTATCGCAGTTTCTGTTTACATTTTGTAACCTGTCTTAGCATCTGTATAGAACAATAGGCCATGATATAATCTATTCCATCCATGTAGGTGGCTGATTTGCTGTTGCTTCGTAGGCTGGGCAATAAACAAAACACAATTTTATTCATATATAGCTGCATGGGTACTTACTGACAGTTACTTTATCTCTTTCTCCCAGCATAATATTGTTTGGTGATAAGTCTCTGTGAACAATCCGTTTTTCTTTGTGTAAATATCGCAGTGCTAAACACAACTGGGATGAGAAAGAAAGCAATGATCAGAATAACATTCCTATATGTGTCTGTGTCTTTCAGACTGTGGAAAGCGGAAAAAAACCTCCTTAAAGTGAATCGCCTGGCATAAGTTGTTTCTAAAGTGACAACAGTGATGAGTTCAGATAGTTTTCAGCTCTAAAAGCTGCTTGAAGGAACTTATGTCTGGCATCAGATGAGGCATAACATGCACCTGGAAAAACTTGGAAAATGTATGAACAGAGCACCAGGTGGCTGCCTTGCAAATCTGGGAAACAGTTGCCGGATGCCTAAACATCCAAGAGGCACTTTAGTTCTAGTAGCGTGCACCTTGACCTTAGGGTAGAACCTTGTCCTTAAGACCATAAAGGTACCAAACAAAGGTAGCATTGATGCTCTAGAATAATGAGGACATGAAAGTATGCATTCTGGATGTCCAACAAGGCTAAAAAGTCTCCCCGGTGGAGGGTTGATTTATAATGGAACTTTTGAGTTCAAATGAAGACATTTAGAGCTTTTGGGTACTAGGTGGGGTGAATAACCATTTTTAGTTTTGAGCCCCTGAAACCTATTAGATAAGGGAACCATGGAAACAACTCCTTATTTTAAAAGATCCTCAAGAAGGTTTGCTAGCATGACCAATATACAGCCAGGTTGAACAACATGAATCCAACCTGTTTTGGATGTCTCTTGCATATAGGAGCAATGGCAGGTAGAAGCTACCTCACAATGAGGAAAAAAAAGTGTGAATTGCGCAAGCTCTTCAGCTAATGACACTTTTCAGCTTATTAACCCCTTCCATGGAGACCGATGGACCGGCAGCAGTAAAAGATATTAAAGAGTAGTAGTTCCTACCATTCAGCTCCATTGGGAATACTGATATGAGAGACTGGGGTTCCCAAGGGCAGTGCAGCAGCTCTGAACCTGATAAGCCCTTTGTGGGTAACTAACAAAATATGCAAAAGACTGGATAGCACCATTAGAAAAGCCCAGTTCCTGGGGGTACATTCTGGGGTTAAAACAGTAGAAAGGCATCATGGCACACTCACAAACCAGCATGTAAAACAACTTGTCTCACCACTAAGGACAATGACAGAGGTTTGGATACACGTCTTCTGCTGAGGATGTGAAAGCCGCACTGCCGCGCCAAGGCACCTCTTATAGTGCAGTCCTAACTCTAAACTATGAGAGTCTCCATCTTGGAGCACATGGGGGCAGAAGATATCAAATTGGGTGCAGGTTTGTCAGGAGGAAGCCCAGCCTCCTTAAAAGCACAGAAACACACAAGGGATCCCGCACATCCCAATGGCAGCTGAGAGGTGCCTTGGCGCGGCAGTGCGGCTTTCACATCCTCTGCAGAAGACGTGTATCCAAACCTCTGTCATTGTCCTTAGTGGTGAGACAAGTTGTTTTACATGCTGGTTTGTGAGTGTGCCATGATGCCTTTCTACTGTTTTACTGTTCAAAGCCCATTTCGTGTGCACCTTACTGTATAACTGGTAACAAATTGTTGAGTGCGTTTGTCGTTTGTTTTGCTTGACCGATTTGGTACATTCTGGGGTTGCCCCATACATTTTGGTCCTACAAGGTCTAGGTATGGCCTTCCAGGTGTCCACCCTCCTAGCAAAAACTGGGAGTGGGAGGAGTTCCACTTTGTTGGCAAGGGCTTTTTTGTTTGCCAGTATCCAATTCCTCCTGAAGGAGGTAGTATAATGCAGTCCTATCAGATCAAATACTAATGATGTGTCCTTAATGAACAATTAAGAAATTATGGGGGGTTTTTTACCTCTGCATGGAGTTTAGCTACAAACTTGTTATCGCAGCCATAACCATTTTCCACTTACCTGTATAAATATGTGCCAGAGACGTTCTTCTGTAAACTGCTGTTTTTTCTCCTTTAGGGACTTGAAATGTTCACCAAGAGGTGCCCCTTCAATGAGCTCCATAACAATGTACAGCTTGTCATCTATGGGATAGCAAAGACAATAGTGATGGTGGTTATACTACTCTCATGTGTTACATTGCTTCATTCAGGTGTCACTACCTATCTATCTCTATCCATCTATTCAAGCAGAGCATCAAGAAATTGAGTAGTTTAGGAGAGCTGAAGGTTCAGATCTCGCAAGCAGAGTTAAGCTACAAAAAACTATTTGCAATTCAATATTTGTTATACACTCAACTTGTCTAAATTCCTGTTGAGTTGGAGATGGAGAAGAACAGGGAAGATAAGTTGTGCTCATTCATGTTTAAGTTAAGCAGGTTTTAGTATATTTTTGAAGAGTGACGTTAAAGAGAACCAGTCACAATTGTCTTTAAGCAAGAATCTGAACATTTAAAGGGTAATTCACAAAGCTGCCGAAGGACCCAGCCGTATCTTCGGCTGATCCTTCGGCACGCTTCGGTTGCGGGAGCCCTTCGGTTCAGTCAAACCGAAGGGCTGCTCTACGGGCTATTCACTACAGCCTGTACAGCAGCCGAAGGCGGCCAAGTGGCTCAGCCGAGCCGAACCCATATGCTTTGGCGAAGCGGGGTGAACGAGTCTGTAGTAAGCGCAAAACAAGATACCTGCTGATCCTACCAGAAATCAAAAGCTGTTCTGTGTCATGCACACTCTGCAATGTAATCTCAAGCAGTGTTATCTTTCTGCCCAGGTTACCTCTCTGAACAACCCCGTGTTAAAAAAAAAAGGTAAGCAGAAGGTGTTCTGCAGTCCTCAATCTTTCTACTTTCTGTACTGGTGTGACAATGCTCCTCCACAAAATGAATATAGCACGTGAGTGTTCTCACCCTAGGATAGGAAGTGTGTTACTGACAGGATCACCAGGTAAAAATAAAGGGGAAAAAGCCTGATAAAATACAACTAAAGCAGCCACATTATATAATTTTTGTTCTTCCATTTTTGTTTAGATACACTTTAACTGCAGTGCTCTGTTATATGATACTAGTAGGCATAAGTAGGAGACAGCAGTCGTAATCCATTTAGCAATAACAAAAGCAATCTGTCATAGATAACATTTTTTAAGGAGTGATATTATTCGGATCCTTGCATATTTACAGGTGTTTAAAATTACACAATGCCCATATTTTAGGACAACTTAAAGAGCCTTTTAGATGATAGTTTCATTTTTATTATCAGAGATAAGATTAACTTTATTTCTGCAAACCATGCAACCATAATAAATATAATATTATAAATATAATATAATTATAATATTTCAAATGGTACAAGAAAAAAATGTGACTGAATTTATTTAGAAAATGTATCTAGTAATATCAATTCAATGCTATACTTAAGAATACAACTATACTCACTTTCTAGAAATGTTCGATGGTATCGCACAATGTTGGGATGGCAAAGCTATAAAATGGTATAAAATGTGAGTAACTTGCCAGTTATTGGAAGCAACACTACATAAAATAAGAAACAGTTAAAATAATTACACTTGGGATATATTACATATAACAAAAATTAAACATAGGCAGGCTAGGCAGCATTACATTTTGTTTAACGTTTAGATCGTAAAGATGACTACTTTAAAGCATTCTGTCATGTCTGATTTCCAGGAGCTGGATATCAGACTGTAACCAGTGCTCTAATCTTTTATCTCCAAGGTCCTAGTCATTGCTGCAAACATAGTGTACAGTCTACATGCTTTTTACAAATACAGGTCACTGATAAAGCACAGAACAATGACATTTCACTTTGAAAAACTGGGCTGTTCACATGTCTATTTATGTGCTTGGTTTCATGTTCAATAAAATATATAACATGCTGCATTCTGACAATGGTAACAAAGACACAAGTCCCTGATGAATTTTGTTTTCAGACGGAACATGTCAGGTGGAGCCTCAGCAATATGTGTAACATGTATCAGGGTGCTTCTTTTGTGCTCCCCTTTTTCCCATGTGAAACTGGAGCGCACATCTAAACTACAAAGTAGATTCTAACCAGTAGTAGATCGGTTAGAGGATTAACAAGTACATAATGGTTCCCAGGTCAAAGAGCACAGAGTACAACAAATATTTTAATGTTTAAGATAATGCAAAATACATATAAATACGCATTGACTATTCCCTTTAAACAGCAGTTTAAAAAGCTTAGAAAGGTCACATGAACTGCCATCCAGTGTCAACACTGAAGCTATGTACGTTACAACATGGGTGCTGCAGTGCACTTGGCTTGTTGCATATTTTTTATTGTAATTTCTAAATACAGGTATGTGAAATGTCACGGAGTTAAGATTTCAGCAAAATATTTTCCTTCTAAAAGTTACACTCAATCCTAGACAGCCACACTGTTTAGCATGATACAATGGTACTGTGTTGTTCCTTGAACACCTGGACAAGGACAAAAGCTTCTAAGGACAAATCTTCAATATCTGACTGAAACTGTGCATGAGAAATCCAAGCTGCACCACACTCTTAGGCAAGTGACTATTTTACCCATTGCCTGCAATAATCAGGCAACGTATGATCATTTAGCCTCACAGATATATAGCAGCATTCACTAGGAGACAAAAACATTTTTAAAAATTCTAGAACTGTTTGTGACTCATAAGCAACTATCCCTTCTTCCTGGGATGACCCTTTGACTGCCTGTGTGTTCTATTCAAATGCAGGCATAGTCAAGGAAAAAAAGTGGTAGTGGGTTCCTGCAAAGCAAACATTTTAGGGTCAAGAAAAGGATGGTAGACTTCTAACTGCTTGCCTGTCTCTCCAATCCATAGACTTTAATACTGAGTTTCTCACCAGCAGCAGGAATGTAAAAATGTGCAGAAGCTGAGGGCCAATATGATATCTAGACAACTAGCATGTTTAAAAAGAGCTTATTGGCACCCTAAGAGCCGGCTTTTGTTTGTCTCAAGCACAATTTACAATCTAAAACAAGATGGCTACGCAAAACCTGCTTGAGGTAAGTAAATTCTTTGTGCTTGAAGTACGTTAAATTGAGACTAGAAGGAGGTCAACTGCAAGTCAAACGCACCAGTTAATAAATTCTGAATGATCTCATATGCATCTTAAACTGATGCCACTGACACAATCCTAAAGACACTTGACAGAGATCCTCAGTATTATCTAGTCTGATAAGAGCACCAGTCCAATGGTCAAAGAGTCCACCTAAGCTTTTACTGGGTAATAAGGTTGATGTTAAACAGCCAATGGTCTTTGGGGGCTCAGGCACTCCCCTTCAGGGCTTGGAATTAGCATGAACTTAAAATAGTTGTTAGTTATTGGAAGAGATAGACAGGATAACAGTCATTACGTGAAGAAAATGTGTGGCTAATTGATACAGCATGAGCTCTTTTTAAAGTGGACTTTTACCTTTGGTCCCCCAATTAGGGGCACCCTGTTTGCATGAGAGAGGTCCATATACTGGACGAACCTTGACGAACCTCTTACAATGGTTGGATACTGAGAATGAAATCCAACGCTTCTTACGCACACTCTCTGAGTGACAGACAGCTGGGTTTTGAGTTCTCATTAGGGTAAAATGACTTAAAATATGGAACGTGGATTTCTCAGTGTCACAAAAGTTGGTAACATGAAGCGCAGAGAACAGCTCCAACTAAACTTAAGACAAATGTTAGCTGTTGCGGAACAGAGCAATAAAGATCCTTTTTACAAACAGCTTTTGTTCCTGTAAAACGTAGGCTCAGATATTAAACGATTTATATTCATTTCTTGAAAGCATAGAATTAAGATGTAATTGCAGCAAAAGCAAAGATAAAATTTGTCACAGAAACAGAAGCTATTAACTAATTTTGTAAACAGGCAATTTCAATTCTTTGTAGTAGATTTGCTTCATTTGTTGAAGTTACAATATGACATTACTGATATTAAACTGTAAGCCTGGCAGAAATCAAGAAGACCGATAAAGAGAAGTGAATCATGGAGCACAAACTTAAAGGGAAAGTGTTAGACCAGAAGCATAGGAGCAGTGATTGACTTTTTTAAGGTGCAAGGTCTGAGGTTGCCATCGTTTTCCATACTATTAGTTAACAGTGAGTCGTTGACGAGGAACAAGCAGGCAGTATCAAGGAACCCATATTTCTGTGCTGACTGGTTCTATTTAGGGGTACACGCACCTGTTCTCTGGTTATTGTTAGTTCAGATACTATGTTCTCAGCACTGCTATCACGATCTCTTTTGTCTTTACCAAATGCCGGGTTGTGCAAATTGATCTCTTTTATGGCAAAGAGATTCTGACCACTGCGTTTCCTGACCTATTGAGAAATATGGATAGAAGGATAAAAACAAACTGAATATCCAATACCAACCCCCCAAAAGGTGTGTGTGTGTGTGTGTGTATATATATAGATATATATATAGATATATATATATATATAGATATATACATATCTATATATAAAGTTTTCTTTTTAGACACTCTTGGTTACTAGAAGGCAGCCTCCTTTTTAATAGTATTCTTGGGCCCATGTTGACTTTAACTTTCACAGAGGTAACTCACTGGTGGGTTGAAATCTGAGTATCTCTGAAGTGACACTTACAGAGGGAGAGTATGGAAAATATATTGCAATGAAGGAGGGTACGCAGGGCAAGGGCAGCTTTTTTGCTTCTTTTTTTCCTAAATGTCAAAAGCTATCCTTCCCCACTGCACCCAGATTACATAATACACTATGCTGATTGAAACCACTCGCAATTACCTGGTTTCAAATTTGCAAAAACCTAAAGATAACCTGGCCTGCGAAGGGAAAGGTGAGAGGGTTTCAGCAGGGCTTGCACATTTCCCTATCACATGCAAGTTCTTACAGAAAGTCTATTTTCCATGAGCACTGTGGCGCAATATTAGCAGATAGCAAACTGCAGGCAAGGTCTGCATTGACACTCTGTTAACCATGAAGTCAGTGGGTAGTGCTAGGTGTAACCAGCATCTGACAGACTGGCTAAAGGCTGATGAATTAGCACCAGGAACATGTTAAGCCATGCCCACTGTTTGTGCTGATAAGCCCACTCTACGCCAGGCCCACAAGGTCGATCGCGATCTACCAGTCGATCGCGTAGTGATCACTGGTAGATCGCCATGTCCTCTCCTCCCACCGCTTCTCTGGATCCCCGCTGCTCTCCCCAGCGGGGATCCGAGAAGAAGTGAAGGAACAGCGCGGCGGGGGAGGGCGGAGGACGGAGAACAATACAGCAGTGCTTTCACTAGCACAGGAACAGTGTTGTCAAATTTTCAAAAGAAACTGATCAATACCAGTTCTGCTGACAGGATCACCAAGTATTTTTAAGATACTGCAAAGGGCATGGGGACAAACAGGCTGACGCATGTTATTTATGTGACAGCCAAGAAAATATTTAAACATTTTTATTTTGATTATATTTCTATTTTAATAATGGAGGCTGTAGGGGGGGCAATATTTAGCCTGTAATGAAATTAGGTTGTGGAAAAGCTTGCTGTGATTTGTTGAGCTACAGATGGGCCTAACTTGCTTGTGTTGCCATGATTAGTGGCAATCTGCAAAGAGGCACTCAATACCCCTTGAAGCTGAACTCCAGTCAAACAGCTAATTATACAGATGAAAAACATATATGGAGCTGGTAGGCCTGCCAAAGAATTTGTTATTTCTGTCTGCTCGTTCCTGAGATTTACACAACTCCGCCAGAGAGCAGAGCCATCCTGGAGACTTAACTTTTTTCTACTGCAGTAAAGTAATACCACTAGATCCTGTCCTGGGCAGTGACACGAAAGAGCAGGCTCTTTACTTTATCACTCTGCTCTCTTCCTATCAGCATGTATAAATGACACAACATGCCGGGATTGCAAGAAGCTGGAGTCCAATCCAGGTAACTATACTAGTTGCTTTTAATTTATTTAATTCCTTTTTTTTTTTAAATACACTTTTTTTTTATAATGACATAACTAATTCATAACATGTGGAGATAGTATGTTTACCATGTTCACAATCATGAACAGGAGGTGATGTAGATCACTTCCCATTTAATCATAATTAAGGACACAGTAATCATACTATGACCTCAATTATTTACAAACACTCAGCAATCACTGGTCACTGAGTGTTTGTACCCGCTCTCCATCCTGGATCGGCTGTCACAGGAGGCTGAGCAAGCGATGCAGGGAGGAGATCTCGATCTGACAGACTCGGCCTCCTGTGACAGTTTCTCTCCTCTCCGCTGGAACACAGAGCAGCGTCCGGCGGTGAGGAGAGAAAGCACAGATGCACCGCAATTTCGGCCCAAAAAATTTTTTTTTGCCAAAAGTGCCACTTTCGGCTGATACGTTTCAACGGCCGAAATTTCGGTGCATCCCTATTTTTTTTCTATCTGCTAGGAGTTCAGTTTTAAATATGACACTTCAAAAATATGCTCAGGTTTATGCCATTAAAAAAACCAAGTGGGGGTTACCCTTCCCCTGCCTTCTATTTTGCAGGATTATGTTTCAAAGATGTGCTTTCAAATAAACATGTGATTTGACAAGGGCCCTTTATGCCCCTGGTGCATGATCCGAGCTGTTAGGTATGTATGTGGAGCTTGGGAAGGAGGAAGTTAGGTGACCTTGTTGTTTTATCCTGCTTGAGAAAAGTACAGGTTTACTTTAAACCTTCACAATTCCAGCTACCATTATTTGGAAGTTTGTTGGTGGTGGCTGAGTCCCTGTGGGGCCAAGACAAACGCCCTGCATAACCATTCATTTAATAACCTTGACTGTAATGTGGAACTGCTTTACTAGCATAAAAAGAAAATAGATTAACAATAAACTTACATATAACCCTGGTAAATCCTCCTTATAAAGCACTGAAGGCTGGCTATGAAGAGGCTTTGAGCTTACATAGCTTTAATACACACAATTATTTATTGATCAAGGTCTGCCTAGCTCTCAAAGAGAAATGAAATGGCTATATAAAAATATTGATTATACTTCAACAATGAGATTTACCAACACTGTAAAATAAAACTTACCTTATATACACTCCCAAATGCTCCACTTCCAAGGTGATCTAGAATTGCATAGTTTCCAATAAATTTTGTGGGAGTTTTGTTCTGATTGATGCCTTGAATGCCATCAGCCACTTGCTTCAGTTCGTCTTCCTGTAAATTGCACAAAAGACCGGTTACTTTCGCTCTCTTGATAACAATATATGATTTTTTTCCCTTTTAAAATGGAATGTAAAGTTATCACTTACTGGTAGTGAATTCAATTTAGACACAAGGTCTTCATAGGCGCTGATGTCTCGAATGTAATGACCAATGTCAATAAACATCTCAAACAAATCTGGAGGGAAAAACCTAACACAAAACAGATAAATAATGTCAAAAGGAATCTAAACCAGAGCAAGTAAAAAGGAAAAACAGAGTCAAATCTAAACTCCTAATTCAAATACTTTACTGACTCAGAAAGTACTGAAACCATTGGATCAGCACACCAGACAGATAACTAGAATTTTCAGATGCAGGGGCCAGTAATGATACCCAATATAATCCGCCTGGAAAATGTTCTTTATCCCCTTTATGACCAGTGGCATCGGGTGCGTTTAAACAGACTCCCGGTCAGGGGCGTCCCGAGGCTGGGTGACACCCCGCTGTGACGTTGCCGCACACGTGCGCAATGACGTCATCGGGCATGCGCGGTCATTTTATTGATGCCTGCCAGCGACCATCTTGGTAATGGACACCGGCAGAGAGAGGAGGGGACGTTCACCCAATGGGATGAGGTGTGCCGCCGGGTCACCTTCTCTCTCCTGACACTGTCGGCCTCTCGGTCTGTGACCGAGTGCCCGACTTTTCATAGGGGGTGACACCAAAATGACTGTCAGCCATTTTGTTGTCACCCCTCCAATGGTGGCACCCGGGTGCAGACCGCACCCCCTGCGTGATGCCACTTTGCAATAGAAGCGATTCTGGCGACTCAGCTGTCGCCAGATCGCTTCTAAAGGCCAGAAAACGATGATCGCACTACACATGTTGGGTATCACCAGACTGAGAGCAATAATTCTAGGGCCAACATTTATGTGTATCTCTAAACTGATGACCTGTAGGGGTTTTTAAAGTATCGTCTATGGACTTTTTAAGGTACTGAATTTTGTTGCAGTTTCACAGACGCATACAATTTGTAACCTGGGCATGTTGGGTATCTATTTACTCGTTGTAACCTTATCGTTTATATTCTATTAAAAAAATGGGTATTTTATTGTGTTTTAGGGCATTTAAGTGCATTTTTCACTAAATGTAGGGGTTTGATAAAGAGTTGCGCTAATATCGCACAACATACAAGTTTGCAACTGCCGACATTTTATTCTACAGGGTCTTGACTTTTAGAAAATATATAAGGTTTGGGGGGTTTGAAGTAATTTTCAGACCTAAAATGTGGATTATAACATGGGTGGAAAAAACTGAACAAAGGCCTCAGTCATGAAGGGTTATAGTGTAAATACAAAAGTATGTTTCTAATGATCATTTTAAATTATACAATTACATGGAATAGCAATAGTTGTTTTTATTACATGCATGCTCTACGTCTTCTAGTAGCACATGTTTGTAGGTGGCTGCACTAATATTAAAGTTAAACTCCAACCAACATTTATTATCCATTCTGGAAAATTCAGGGAAGAGTTAAACGTAGTCAGGTCTTTATTGTTTTTCATGCTCCCATTGGAAATATTCAGCCTTGCTTTCTATTAGGGTGATTGTTATAAAAAGTGCAGAAAGTGAGGAGAATATTAAATATTTTACAATTGGAATGGGAATAGAGGAAAAACTTGTTGTTGTAACAAGCTTTGATTTCTCCTTCCTCTGGGGAGATGTCCTGCCATTATCTGTTGTGTCTTTGAGACAGGAAATGTGGAGAAATCTCACCAGTGAGGATACAAATAGCAAAACATGACAGAGTTCTAAACCTTTCCCACTTTAAAGTAGAGAGTAGAAACTGTAAACTTGCAACTCAGTAAAACCTTTTCGACTAAATTATACACAGTTTGAAAACAATATCCTTGTTGGTAGTTTGTAGAAAAAATAATTATATTCCAAACATAGATAGGTGAACCCTCTAGTGGGTATACGCCTGTGTATAAAATGTTAGCACAAAAAATACAACACAATAAAGTAATAATAATAAAAATAATTTAGAACATAATAAATGACAAAATATAGTTTCACCTAAATTATACATTATTAATGAATGAATACTAACATTAAAAATGTGTAACTATAAAATAACGTAGTGCTAATCTTTTAAGCAATTGTGTGTATAATCCATCTAATATAATTTGTCAGCAGCAGTGAAAACAAGTGAATCCTATGATCACTCTCTAAAATCTCAAGACAATAAAGTCACTGCGCTAAAAAACCTACAACTTATACATAAACAATAAAGTGCCTAGTGATTGTCCCAACACAATATGTACAATATGTGTGTGTGTTTAAAGGTGGCCATACACTGTACAACCATGGCAAGACCTTAGTCTTGCCATGGTTGTAAAGTGATTAAAAAAACATACGATCTGCCCATCTTGGACAGGCAGATCGCACTCTCGATCATCACAAGCCCGCCCCCCTGAGGGCTTGCGTTTGCATAAAGTTATGAGTTCCCCTTTATTTAACACATTACATCTGTAATGTCTATAACTTGGTTTCCGTTTTGCCATTAACTGTGCATATATGTCCTATACACCGGCACATATTTTATTTTTAGAATTCTTTTATTTTCATTTACTGTTTTGGAAAGATAGCTTTTATGCACCCATACTCTACCTTTTGAACAGATCTCGGTTTCTTTCCATGCTAAATAGAAATCTTAAGGCTCGGAACGCATAACACTGTAAAACAAAAACAAAAGGCAGTCAAGCTAAAGCATTTCTGCCACAGCAACAGTAGCACCCAGCAGGACTTGAACAATAATAAGTAGCTGCCAACGATGGTATTAATTTTGCTTAGTCTATGATCTAGGGCCATCTGGCTGTACATCTTTCTAGTCGGGATCTTCTGCCATCTGGAAGCTTGTATTACAACGTATTAGTGATACTATAGTGTACAATAAATAATCTTAATTATGTGTACTTAGGGCAGAGGAAATGTGAACAAACAATATTGATGGGTTTACAAATATGATGAAAATTAGGAAGCATATCACAATAGGAAAACAGGAACTCTACCTCAACTATTGCAAAGATCTGTAAAATAATACTTGCTCTGCTGCTCATTCTGCTTATGCCATGGCATCACCCTGGCTAAAATATAAAAACACACAATGCAGAACAAAATTGAACATCTGCTCAAAGCTAACATATAAGATTCTCTCCTGGCATCCTGGTTATGGAGGACTGATCCTACGCAAAAACACTTCTGCCTTTGTATTGGGAAAGATGCCTGCAGTAGCAATCCCACTAAGATGGTTTCCAAATTTCAGGAACATTTTTCTGGCCTACCTTATTAGAGACTCCCCAAATATCACTGGAGTGACTGTGGCAGGTCACCACTACAAGTTAAGTGTTTTGACAGACAATGTTATTCTTATCATCACTAATCTTTAAATTTCCTTACTCAATTTAAATAATTTCTTAAAACAATTTAGCAACATTTCTGGCCTTCAAGTCAATCACGTGAAATTCAAAACCTTAACATGCTCTTTAATGCAAAACCTTAAATTATTCTTCCACTATCAATGATAACTAAAACAGCTCTCCTACTTAGGCATATACCTTACTAACTCATACTCTACATTCTGTGAAGCAAACTACCTGTCACGGATTGGGACTCACGGGTATGAACTGGAGTCAGGTATGTGGACCCTTTCCACTACACTGGCAGGGACACTTAGAGAAAAGGGTTCAAGCAGTGTAGGCTGACGACTCCCAGAGCTGGAGTACAAGCAGGGAACAGAACAGGTATGTGAATGAGGCAGTGGAAGTCAGCTTAAGCTGGAAGTTCAAATACAAGGCAGGGTGTTGCAATGCTGAGTAGGTGGCATGGGATGCTGAGTAGGTGGCATGGGTTCCCCCAGGATGTGGAATCTAAGGGCCAGCCGGTATGCGCCAGAGCTCCTGATGGTGGAGATGGGCTTGGCTGCGTGCTGACTCCAGGTCACAATTCCTGGGTCCACCCAACTCACCTAACAGGTACAGGGTACAAATCAAAGGTTAGGGACAGGCTGAAGACTTCCAGGGACTAAGCAAAGCACAGGTTAGAATGTAGTCAGGGATTTCCAAGGACAAAAGCAAAGCACAGGGCAGCCTGTAGACAGGGATTTCCAAGGGCAAAAAGCAAAGCGCAGGGCAGACTGTAGACACGGATTTCCGAAGACAAAAGCGAAGCATAGGGCAGCCTGTAGACAGCGATTTCCAAGGACAAGATAAAGGTTCGGTATACGGGAAAACTTGCAGGAATTCAGGGTAAATCACAAATGGGGGACTCGGCAACGAGCTTGGGAAAGCGTTGCTCGGGCCCCGTGCTGTTCGCTGCCCTGAGTTTAAATAGAAACAGGAAGAGGGAGAATCCACAGGATTGGCCACACGCAGACTGCACTGATTGGCTGAGAAGCTGTATAAGAAACAGCAGGAGACGTCGGCCGACGCATAAAGCTGCCAGACAGGTGCAAGTGTGAGTCAGATTCAGAGCACATGCCTGGAGGACTACAAGCCCCAGCACAGCCCTGCATGCCTGCAGAACCAGGGGTAAGAGGTATGTATATACTTGTAGAACTATAAGTAACAGTCAGCTGCACTTGCAGCTGAACTGTGACACTACCCGCCTCTCCTCCACAAGCTTAAAGAACTTATGCAGGCCTGAGATAATTATCCTTTCTCTTGGCTATGCAAAACCACTGCAATCATAATGATGCACTTCCCAAAACTATTGTATCTGTTTTGATTCCTACCCATACTGGTCCCTCCTCACATTATAAAAATACTTCGGAATCAAGTCTTACTATTGTATCTGCCAGACAGGAATCTGTCTGTGTGATTTAGGGTTGCCTAGTAGACTAGTCAACTTACAAACTCCAGGGGGCAGCTACTCGAAGTCATGTGTCTGGTGTTTGTGGGTGTTTTTGGGTGGTAGGAAAAGTGATAAAACAAGGATTCTAGCTCACAGGATAGCTTGAGGAATCGCAGAAGTCTGTGGTAATCACACTTGTCAGATTGTTGATCTATTGATCTTGTCAGAAATTCAGAGCTACCTTCGTCCTGTGCATACATTCTGTGTTATCCTTCTAGTTCTTACCTTGAACTACAGAAAAAAAGTAATTCCTATGCTGTGGTGAAGAAGAGAATGGGGGCGATTCAATAGTTTAACAAGGGACATCCAGGCAGAACCGACACAAAATCTTGCAATTTTAGCCCACAAAAAGGCATGTGGTGTCACTCCACAAGGGGAAATTAGGATCTGAAGGCACTTTTAGAGGTCAATGGATATTTTGTCTCTACTTGCAGGGTCTTTAAAGGGATAAAACATTGGGAAATGTTTTTGTACTACAGAGATGTACTGCACTTTTTTTTTTTCCCTGACATATGACTTTATGAAAGAAAATATTGTTCTGAAGAATACAATATGCTTCTGTACCTAAATTAAAGCAAATCTGTCACATGAAAGCAGTGTCGGTATAAGGTCATCCAGTACCCAGGGTGAAGATGCCAAACTGCACTTCTAACCCGCTCCTGGCAAAGGGATGGGCGCACACCATGATAAAATGCATGTAATGAATGTGGCATGCCACATAATAGTGCACACTGCAGTGAATGAAACAGTTTAATAGTGGTGCACATTCTGTCCTGTAGTAAAATATAGGGCTAACAGTGGTAAAGAAAGAACTACCCACTTTCCCCAAACCACCACACACATCTGCCCCGAATTGGTTGCTACATTATTTCCTCAAGGTAAGGACACACTTACTATCAGGAATGAAGAGACTCAGTCCACAGTTCCTCAAACGTATTTGCTTTTACTTAATTGATAAAAAAACACGAACATTTTAATTTTGTTTTATTTCCTTGTCCTTGATCAGGCCATCTTAGATTTGGGCACACAGGAGTGAATCACAGAATGTTTAGCTTCACTGATTAGCCCGCATGGGGAAGAACAGAGGCATTCCCCTAAATTTGCTCCCTGTTCTGCTCGGTCCCTCAGAGGTACCGAGCAGAACAGAAAAAGAGTTAAAAAAGGTAAAAAAAAGTCAATAGCAAAAGATTGTGCAGAGCTAGCAGTAACAGCTAGCTCCGCCCAATAGTTTCCTATTGTCCGGCGGCTCTGCTGCCGTCACAAAAAAAGAAGAAAAAAAAACTCTCCCGGGCGATCTGGGAGCCTCCCGCTCCCGGCCGCCCAGTAGAGAAACCGTGCTGTGGCTTTTTCTTTTTCTTTATTCTGACACGAGCGATGTCAGAATAGAGAAAAAAAGAAATTTTCCCATTGAAAAGCATTGAGACATTACTATTAACTCGGCTCGACTGAGCCGCTCGCCCATGTTCGGGAGCTGTACGGGCTATTGTGAATAGCCCGTACAGCACCCCTTCGGTTCTACTGAACCGAAGGGGTCCTGGGGCCGAAGCTGCGGCCAGATCCTTCGGCAGCTTCGTGAATAGACCCCTAAGTAGTAATGTAGGGGCTGACAAGTGGAATCACAGCATGTGGCCAGGGGATGCAGGCATCCAACATGCCCAGAAGTATGTCAAATGTGAAGACTCTGCTGGTGGCTTTGCTCTGCAACAGAGTGAAGATTTCACAAATGGGTGGAGGGACAAGTAGGTATAAACTGTCTTCATCTGCAGTTTTTTTTAAAGATATATATTTGCGACCTTATATAGTATTACTTTTTGGCTTAAAGCAGAAATAAAGCGAAAACTTCTATTTTAGTTTTAGATAGAGTAAGGGGGGTAATAACTCCTGCCAGCTTTTTTTGCTGTGTCGCACTGGGGAGATGACACTTTACTTCCTGTACAATAGCTACAACAGGAAGTGAGAGAAAATCTTTCTTTCTTTGCTTTTAGTCAACCATAATAAATAAGGAAGATGTGCAAAAGAGAACACTACATATTCCCTTCAAGAAAGCTGTTTTATTACCTGTAACAAAGTAGACTTGCTTCTAATACAATCGTTTTGTCTGCTTGGTAAAATCAGCATACCAATAATGTAAACACCATTTTCCTGCAAAAAAGAAAAAAATCAGGTTATGTCAGTATTCTCTATAATAAGACAAAGGCATTTGGTACTGGTAATCTTACATTTTGTGTGTTTGTTTGCTGGGGTAGGGGCTAGGATTCATTAATATTTTATAAAATAAATTAGCATACAACTCAGGACGTGAGCATGGCTCACTCCTCTGATGCACTACAATGTCAATACATATTAGTAAACTAAACGTGAGATTGTAATCCATTCCGGGAGTGATCTTGGAGTGGTGGCTACTTTACAACACACACAGGAACCATGGGGAACAAAAGTAGCCACCCTCCAGAAGGAAGGACAGTGTCAGTACAAATTCAGAGATGATGTGAGGATCTACAGTCGAGTGATACACAAATAAGATACATATGTGTTAATAGTTAGGTTGCTTGAATACATTTTTAACATTTAACTCCCGAGTTTAGTGTCACTTTAACATCTCTTTGTAAATGTAGGTGACATTCAGCAACAAGAAAATCTGATGCATTACTCTGTAACTGTCAAATCTGCACTCATTAGTGATCCAATTAATCACCCTCAGCCTTCAATTTCACACATACAGAGTACAGGAAGACCGTCCTCCCACAGTTCTGACCTCAGACAAAATGCATTAGCGGCTGGGGAAAATGCACGTGTGGTTTCATTTTTGGGGGTAGTTGTGTCGTGAATTGGTATACATAGCAAGAAATTAAGGCATCAAATTAAGGCATCAGCATTTTTTATTTCTTCTTGCCTAAACCTTCATTAGTAAGCACATTTAAAATAGGTTAATTGGCAATAAATGTAAAACCCTCATCGGGATTACTTTTATAGCTGTGTAATAGATGAACACAGAAACAGACTGAGCAAGAAATGTTACTTTACCTGAACTACTTGGTGAGCATTGGTGTCATTGAGCACAAGTTCAGTAAGAGCTGCACAGCAGGCTAGAATGAGACAAGAGGCTCAGTTAGCACATAATTTACATTCAGCTAAAGTACGATACGGCTCTAGACTTTTCTAAGAAGACAAGAACACATTAGCAAATTCAGCACTGTAGCTATAAGAAACAATGAATGATAAAATCTCTAATCCCATCAATGTCGTATGTCATAGGCCAGCAATAAATACTGCCATAAAACATGTGCTCAGCTATTAGCAGTAACTGGCAATAGAAATATGGCCCCAATGAAGAAAACAACTACAATGTAAGAACATTACAAAGACTTTTATTATAAGATGTATAACACTTGCCAAACTTTCACACTGATTAATGCAAAAGTAGGAAGTTAGTAGCAACATTTATAAATTAGTAAATGTGGAATTCATTGCACATTCACTCGTGAATCATTCCCCCTATTCATAACTGGGAAGATTAACCTGCTGGTGATCATTCACCATGATCACCAGATTGAGCAATATTCACAGATATTCACCAAACATATGTTCTGCAGTGGGAAATAGAATTTACTGTACCAGTCACCCTATATGTAACCCGGCAAATGTGATTTTTATCGTACATTCAGTGAAAACCGTATATGTATATTAATAATGTAATGTGTAATAATAACAATTGTATAAATAAATAGTCTGCAGATCCAATTACTAAAATCATCTCGTATAAGTTTTATTATGCTAATATAAAATATCAAAAATAACATTTCAAAAAATTCAAAAATAATTTTTAATATTGTTAAATCTGCAGTTTATATTAAAATAATTCCTGGTGATGCTGCCATGAAGGTCCTTATACTTTCTGTAATAAGATGACAACACTCTCCCAACAATGGTTGTGCGTTGTCACCCTGTCACACAGGCTTCCAATAGAAACTACAAGTGGCCCCCTAAATGCACAATAAATCAGCATGGTTCACTGGTGTCACCTGAGAAACACCATGTAACCATCACTGGACTGCATGTATGTAGACAGGAAGTGGTGTCAAGCGGCTGCAGGAGATCAGCAACACAGAGACAAAACAAAAGATGTACAAAAAGGTAAAGGAGTATTTTATTTTTTTTAAATGTCAGTTTATGCTATGCAGTACATTTCATACAGTTAGGGTTTACATCTACTTTATCTTTACACATCTGCCATTCTGAAGTGGTAAATCTGTGTTCGTGACAAAAGTATAATAAGTGATATTCAGCATGGATTTATGAAGGACCGTTCTTGTCAGACCAACCTACTAAGATTCTACAAAGAGGTGAGTATAGATCTGGATAGAGAAAAGCCAGTGGATGTGGTGTACATGCATTTTGCAAAAGCATTTGACACAGTATCACAGAAATGCTTAAAGGAGAACTATGAGATGAGTGATTTCCACTCACCTCAAAAGCTTAGATCTATTTGCATAGATAACATGGTGTGTACACGGATTGAGAACTTGCTACAGGAACTTGTCCAGAGAGTATTGATAAATGGCTATTTTTCACATTGGTCTAAGGTAAAGAGTGGCGTGCCTCAGGGTCCTGTACTAGGGTCCTAATACTGTTTAACTTGTTTATTGATGATATTGGGGAAGGCGTTATTAGCCATGTTTCTGTTTTTGCAGATGATACTACAATTGGGAGGGTAATAAACACGGACTTAGACACTATAACATTACAGGAGGACCTGAATAAAATAGAGGAGTTGGGAACTATATGGCAGATGAGGTTTAATGTTGAAAAATTTAAATGAATGCATTTTGGAGTTAAAAATAGGCAAGTGGAATACACATTAATGGGTACACCACTCGGGAAGTCAGAAATGGAAAAAGATTTGGGGCTCATAGTAGACCACTACTACCACAGCTACACCTGATTTAGACAATGCCTGGGCAGTATATCTGAGTCTATTTATATATGGGATGGTGGGAAAAACTCTGTTGGTCAGTATTATGGTGTACTTGTCGAAAGTGAACAATGCCTCTCTGGGCACATTCTCCCCCAAATTTACAGCACAGGGTTTCATTGCACTACATTACATGTGTGCAAGACTCTGCATGAATAGATTAAAATGGCAAACTGCAGGTCATTTTGCCCCAAATCCGGCATGCAGGACTTTTGTTCAATACGATGCAATGCATTGGTGTGAATAGGCTCTACTAAAAACAATGAATGTCCCTGCATTTTGCTTGTGCTGAAAAATGCAACAATATGTATGGAAACACATTAAGTAGGAAGCAGCCCTGAGTGTGACCATGACAATGTGTTTTATACATTATGAAACCATGAAAACATTGCCATTTATTCCATTAAAAAAATGTAAAGTAAAAAGTAAATAAACTTTATAATTGTCAAAAAAGGGCAAGTTGTCTATTTGTCACTGCACTCACAAATATACTGTAGATATGACAAGTTAGGATACCTGCTTGGAGAGAAAGTGTATTTTCTTGTATTTCCCTTGGGCTCAGATCTTCAGATAAATAAAGATGTTGGATTCGGCCTGCAGCATTCGCACTTGACAAGCTCCCAATGGAAGAGCGATCAGAAACTAGATACTGTTCCCTGGAAAAATTTAAAATGATATAACATAAATGACTTCCTGCCAAGCATGAGACTTCACTGATATTTCCTCATAAATAACTATGAAACATATCTCAGTGCAGGCAACTCTATAAAAAGTACCATATTTGTCAAAATAGAAGGTGAGGAGCCAGTAGAGACAGAGATAGATAGATAGATAGATAGATAGATAGATAGATAGATAGATAGATAGATAGATAGATAGATAGATAGATAGATAGATAGATAGATGGAAAAGCTAATTCATGTCCAGTAATCCCACAGAACAGTGTAAACCAGTGGCATGTGATTTAGAGTTCCTGTCATTCTAAACAAGTATGACATCACACACCTTGCATATGTACTATTCCAAGCATAATTTTCTAATTCTTACCATTCTGTTATGACAATAAGTACTTTTAATTAAAAATGTTTTAAGTAATAATTTTACACTTATAATGATTCTCCATTCCCACAGTAATTAAATCTGGTTGTGTCTAGAGATGTCCATGGTTGGAGACCTTGGTCATTTGGCAGCTAATGTTTTATGGAAAATTCTTTAGCAGAGCCTAACATCCATTTGTCATGAGGTGTAGAGAGAGCCTTGTCTCAGGTAGCAAGATGGATGGCTGACAAAGAGAATAATTTGTCATTGAATTGTCAGTGGTTACTGTACTGATGAAAGCATGGCAATGAACAGTGGGGGAAGAATAAAACAGGGACCATTTTCATGAAGGCTGAGTACTGTATTGAGGTGGGAAGTCAGGTAATACTTATATAGTGCCTGGGCTAGCAGTTTAAATATACCTTCTATTTATTGTACAAATCCATAAAAGCAATATACACATACCCTTTTAAAATATGGAGTAGCTGTTTTATGCCTCCCCAGGTACGGATCTCCACACTTATTTCAGGGTCTTCACAAATCTGAACCAGGATCCAAACCACGCTCCACAGAAGCTTTAGGTGGTCAGAGTGTAGCAAACTTAGTAGTGTGGGAACACCATCATATACCTTGACTTGTTCTTTTACCTCAGACTCTGAACAGAGAAGTCGTAAAAGCTCTGCTGAAAGTCTAGAACAAAGTATCATAATACTGTCATATAGAATGCATTCTTTGATGAGAAATCTTCTATTAGATCTTAAATCTGATAGTTTCAGCAAGATATACAGGGTTCTTCACAGAAGGGTGAAGAGTTTGGAGAAGGCAGGAGAAGGGAACAATCTAGGACAACATAGCTGAACTGGAAAAATTCTCCAATTCAGCTCACTTTCCAGTTCAGCTATGTTGTCCTAGATTGTTCACTTTTCTTGCCTTCTCCTAACTCTTCACTCTTTTGTGGATGGACCTGTGAACCTTCAGATTTTGCATACACCTAATTGTAACAGGTTCTATTTAATGTAGTATTCATCTGTCTAACATTTTCTCAGTAACAAATTCAGATCAAACAAATATACAGTACCCAGCAAAGTATTTCTTTACATTTTTACCCAAGCACTTACACTCATGTTTCCCTACAGCTGGCTCCAACTTTCTCTCTGCTTCACTTCCCTGAACTTCCTGTCAAGTGCAAGATCAGAAGGGAGAGCACAGTCTCCAGCAGCCATTCATCTACTAGTTTGAAGGAAGACGGAAGGAACAGGGGGTAGTAGAGAGCAGAATAGTCACTTTCCCTGCTGTGCCTGTTTGTGGAGATACACACAGGTTACTAGCACACAAAAGAGTGGCTCCATGGGACCCTAAGGGAAAGGAGCCACCCTAGGACAGGATGTCAGAGCTTTACACTTACCACAGGCAAAACAGTAATGATCTCTTAGCTACTTTTACAAGGTAACTGGATCAATTTACAAAGTTAAAGGAGAACTATGAGGTGAGTGATTTTCACTCAACCTCATAGTTCGAGCCGACGTGTGACAATAAAACTGTCACACGTCCGCTCAATAGATCGGGAAGTGAGCGAACACATACCGTCGCTCGCTCACTTCTTGAACCTGTCCCTGCAGAGAGCCGTGACTGTCACTCACGGCTCCCTGCAGGGATTCCCCCCTCCCCGCCCCAATCCTCCAGCGCTGACCGGAGGAACGAACCGGGGAGGGGCCTCTAGATAGGCAGAGCCAGCTGTCAATCACGCAGCTGGGTGGATCTCGACAGTAATGTCGGGATCCGTCCTGGCTGAGGCGGTCTCAGTATACCGCGAGCTACTGAGCTTTGGGTCACAGGAGGATGCTAGTTTATGTCCTCCTGTGACCCTGAGGAGAACTATGGGGAAAAACAATTACCCCATAGTTCTCCTTTAACACAACAGGAAAATAAGGATCCTAATTTTCAAAAAAGTGACACTTATTTTCAGCGGAGTTCAATGAGATTTAAAAATTACAGTCACATTGCTAAAAAAAAGCTTCTTATCCTTGTGTTAAAACATTGCAAATTAAGCCTTATATATGAGTTCACAAGAGCATTTGGTGTACACAATTGAAATATATATCCTTTTGGCTATTTAATTTGAATGACAGTTTTTGTGCCTGGAGTGCAACTTTAAGTTATAATGTGGCTATATAAGGTTGCCATTTTTGACACATGCAGGTCTCAATGAGGGTCTTTAGTTCTAAGTTACTTCTTGTGGTTCTTAACGGAGTTCCTTTAGTTATCCTAAGGCTGCTTCACATAAAGGGTAAGGCTGTGGCTGGAGATTCCTGCAGCAAGAACCTACAGTACGGATTCTTGCGTCAGGAATCCCAGGTGTGTATTTCTGTAACAGAGTAGGTTTATGAGTGTGCTGTCCACAAATTGACTATACAGGAAAGGAGGATCCAGGGTCATAATGCACTTTGTCCCTGCTGAAAAGAATACCATAACCAGGTTATAAGGTATCAAAAATAAATCCACATTTAAAGAAGTATTCCAGCAAAGACCAGACCTAGTAAACTACAGGTAGATAAATGGATCAAAAGATAGTTTTCAGTATTTAGTCTTATTCGATTTATTAGTCTATTAGCCAGCTGGAAAACTGTTCATCAGTAGATTTTTATACTCCTTTTTAGTGTAGAGAGACGTTGCCTCTCTCACAAACTATACTTAATAGTAAGTAATGTACATGTGAATCCAACATTTGTTTCTCGTTTTGGACAGAGTGGACAAGCTATAAAACCCATGTCAAGTTAATGTTGCTGTACATGGCCCTATCTAGAGAGAATCACCTTTTTTATTTGCCCTAGCAATCACTGCTGTGAAAATTTCTTATCATCTCCTGTTGTATCAAAGACAGGAAGTGAAGTTAAATTGACACTAAACTCAGGAGTTAAATCTTAAAAATGCATTCAAGTACCCTGACTATTAACTATTCATCTCTGAATTCATGCTGACACTGTCCTTTCTTCTGGAGGGTGGCTACTTTTGGTCCATTAAATCCTAAGGTTAAATCCTTAGTTTAGTGTCACTCGATGTCCCCCCAACAGTAGTTTTAACCATTCCTTACTGTATCCAAACCAATAAAATAGCATTATGAGTTCTATCATTTGTTTCCCAAACTAGATCAAATGTATTGTGGCTATATTAAAGGAGAACTATGGGATGAGTGAAATATAGCCTGCTATATGCTGAGTTTGGGTCACAGGGGGATATAAGTAAATGTCCTCCTGTGACCCTAAAGAGAACCTTTTTTGGCAATAGTTCTATTTTAGGGGGGACTATGGGATAAGCGAAATACACTCATCCCCATAGTTAGAGCTGACATATGACACTGAAGCTTTCACACATCGGCTCTATTGATCGAGAACTGAGCAATCACATACAGCTGATAGCTCAGTTTACGATCTTCTCCCTGCAGAGAACAGTGACTGTCAGTCATGGCTCCCTGCAGGGATTCCACTGCCCCTCTCCATTCCTCCAGTGCTGATTTGAGGGACAGACGGGGTGGGGAGCTGTTAATCTGGCAGAGGGGTGGATCCTGATAAGATTGTCTGGATCTTTCCTGGCTGCAGCTATATGCTGACTTTTGGGTCACAGGAGTGCATTAGTAAATGTCCTCTGTGACCCTAAAAAGAACTACGGCCAAAAAAGGTTTGGCCATAGTTCTCTTTTAAGATGCAAGGATGTGATACTGTAAGCTGCTTCTGGGGCTTTAGAATTTATATATGAATTTCATCCATGAATAAAATAGAATGGATTTTAGTAAAGCTCAGTGAATATAAACTTGCCTTTAACTTTATTACTGACCTTTTAGAAAGCAGATCATATTCATGTAATATCATCATAAGGCTTTCAACTAAGCTGAGTTCACTTATTGCAGGTCTGCACTCTGAGCTGCATGATGGCACAATAAATAAAAAAGTAAATAAAATCAATAAATAATAAACAGTTAATGAATAAGCCAAGAAATGATTTATGGCATAGAGTTACAGTATATACTTCCTACTGCGCACAACTGATTTTCACAACTTGTGGAAGTCAATAAATAGAGGTAGCGCTTGCTTTATGTTAATTCTATACCACAAAGAAATAAACATTTATAACCAAACCAAGACTAACATTATATAAATACAGTTATACTGTGCAACTGTGCAGTTTTATGTGTCCAACTTTTAGGTAATCTCCTTAATCTTGCATCCAAACATCATGAAAAATTATCATTTAAACACCACACTAGGTGTGTAAGTTACCATTAAAAAGTTGTATGATGTGTGAAGGGGCACTGCAAAGTATAAAAATCTTACCTTGCAGCAGTAAAGTGCTACCAGGGCCGTCCCTATATTGAGGCAGCCACAGGTGGCATCTTATTGGGGGGGCGGCCACAGCGCCCCAGGTTGCTCCCACTGAGGTCCTGGCAACCAGTGATATCAGTTAGCTGGGTGGCACACCAGACCAAGCCAATGACAGTGTGGTCTGGCATCATCTGCTGCCCCCAAAGCATCCCCCCACACAAGTGTTCCGTGTCAGCACATACATGTCCCCCCCTACCTTCCCCCGGAATGGCATTGCCTCAGGAGGCAAAAGCCATACGGACAGCCATAAGTGCTAACGTTGCATCCTTCTCACTATTGCTCATTCACAAAATGCCTTGTATTTGTTTCAATGGATACCAGGCTTTCTGTGATTGGAGAGGGAGATAATGTCCATCCCACCTCATTTAATCACAGAACGCCTTGCATTCTTTGAAAAAATAAAAGCCATTTTGTGAATGGGCAATAGTGAGGAGAGGCGAGTGATGCGACCAGAGCATTGCTGGAGTCGCTTCCCTCATTTCTCGCAGTGCCCAGGAGTTATTTGTCGGAGACGTCGTGCTGCAAGGTAAGATTTGTATACTTTGCAGCCACCCTCCACACATAATACACAGCTTTCTAATGATAATTGACACACCCAGTTCAGTGAATACATTATTTAGCCTGTTTTTTTTTTTTGTTTTTTTTATTATTTGTGACTTTTTGCTAATGAACATTGATCCACATTATTGGCTAATAAATAGAATAAAAGCATGCAAACTCTTTTAGATGGTTATTTGAAATTCACATGAATCATTTCCTTTAGAATGGTAACCACCATCTACAGCTAGATATGTAAACGTATTCAAAAGGACAGCAGAACATGCAAATAACAGGCAGACTGCAAAAGCACACAACAACCAAAAAGATTTTTCATTGCAGTAGTCAGTTTGGCTGGTTACTAAGATTTACTATACTTTGCATATCATCACTGCACTTTGCAATACATTTTTGAATAACGTATTGCAAATAATGTCATGGCAATTATATATTTTATATTGCTTAATGCCCAGAACTCATACCACAGAATAAAAGGGAAATCAGACTATTAAAATGAACACATCCAATACCTTGGATTACTATCCAATTACAAACAGAAAAAAATAAAATGATACCATTAAGTTAATATTTTAAAATGAACGCACCTTTCTGCCAAACTGGTAAGAGCAAGCAGAGCACCCAGCAAAACATTACTGTCTCTAGCAGCAACTAGTCTGACCAGTGTCTGAAAGAGAGAACATAAATCTTTAGTATGTGTGTTTGCTAATGATTATGCTTACAATGAAGGCAAAATAAAAAAAATCAGTACATCAATACAATATATGAACACTTCTCAAAGCACCGAAAAATACTTGTTAATCTGTCAGAAATCTAGTGTGCTTCTAGCTTCTTGTTTGGGCTGAGAACACAGTGATGCAAAAAAATCCTTGTCCTACTCCACATACATACACAGCCTCTTCTTGTATACTTGTATACTTCTGTCATAGAAAAATAAAGAAAAGAGTAGCCACTAAAGGAAGTTCTATATTTGATTTCATTCCAATCTCATTAAAACTCTCTGCTTAACAACTGTTATAAGCTATAAGACACACAGGGAGCAATTTGTTTTCAAAGAGTCAACTGACTCACAGGCTAGTATTGTGTGAAGGAGCAAAAAAACATAACCATTGTGTAGCACTGCAAAGCAGGAAGCAGAGGGTGTGAATGTAATTGGCAAATATAGCTACCCTAGTTACATGTAAAATACCAAACTGTACCTAGAAAGGTTTTTTTTTTTTAATCATTAACACACATTGATAACATTATTTAGATCAAGAAAGTCCCTTTTACACATACAGTATACAGGTGAAACTCGAATAATTAGAATATCGTGCAAAAGTAATTACAGTAATTGCTGCAAAAGGGGCCCAAACCAAGTACTGAGTACATATGCATGCTTGTACTTTTCAGAGGTCCGATATTGTTCTATGTACAATCCTTGTTTTATTGATTGCATGTAATATTCTCATTTTTTGAGATTGTGGATTTGGGGTTCTTGGGGTTTTCATGAGCAGTAAGCCATAATCATCACAATTATGACAAATCACGGCTTGAACTATCTTGCTTTGCATGTAATGAGTGTATCTCATATATTAGTTTCACCTTTTAAGTTGCATTAGTGAAATAAATGAACTTTGCACGATATTCTAATTATTCGAGTTTCACCTGTATCTAAAAAAAATCATTGAAAAGACTATACTTACCTTTAAAGTAGTTTGACTATAAAATAAAGATGTCACTCGCCCACACTGATTATAAACACCCACATAACTCATATCGAGCATCCACACGCAGACTTGCAGTGCCGAAGATGAAAATAGGAATTTTGACTTACCTGTAAATGTATTTTCTTAGAGTACAATACAGGATGAAGGACTGTAAGGCTTGAGTTATATGTAGCTACCTTGAGGTGAGTGGAAACTGGCAACAAAGCTGTTAGTAAAGCCCCATATAACTCCTTCCACTCTCGGCAAGCCTCAGTTTTTTAGCAAGCAACAGGAGTAAATAAAAGAAACAGAGGGAAGGAAGGGACCTTTGTCCTTTAATGCATTCTCTGGTAATATTAGGCTCTACATTACTGCATTCAAAAGACCGCCCATAAACAGTGGTTCTTCAAATTGTAAAAAGGATATTCTGACATCGGAACATGTTAACCTGGCTGTACATTGTGTGAATTTTGGCCGATTCTTAATGGACCAGACGAAATTTGTTCAGTGGATGACCTTGACTGCTTAAGTCCAGCATCCTTCAATTAGAAAACCGAAAGAAGCTGGTTGAAAACTTTTGGGGCAAACAGCCAATTGGTACACCTATCACTGTCAGGATACAATAACCCAGAAAGCGATTCATCTATCCACGTTGTTTAGCATGGATGGTGGAAGCTGTTATATTTTTTTTTTTTCGTTCAGCCAGTAGTGTGAATTAAAAAATATAACAGTGTTTGGACAGCTTTAGTTATACAAATATAATTTTCAGATAATATCACAGGCCCTTCATGGAAGTGGTGTATTCCGCTGTCACTCACGTAATATAACATAACGTGGCAGAAAAGTATTATACCTTATCCTATAAAGCTACAGTATACCACATAATAAAACAAAACATTACTGTATTTTGTTATTCAAATAACATGCATTTTCAGGTAACCTAGTCTACAACATATAACAATATAGTGCATATACAGTAATTATATTGATGCATTGCTTTGCTATAAAAGTCAACACGTGCAAGCTGGTTACTTACTTTGTGTGCTCCACTTTGAATTACCCATTCTCTTTGTTCTTTTGCGGCAGCAAGTTTTTGAAAAATATCTACAAAAAGGAGAATGATTACATGACATAACAACAATAATGTAAAAATAAAATAGAAAAATTCATAGTACATGTACAAATGATTATTATGTTATAAGCACACAGGCACAGAATGAATCTTTCTAGAAATCCCGATTTGGAGAGCAGCACTATAGGCAATAGCTGGTAACAAACAAGGTGGGGAAGCCTTCCCATACACAAGCAGCTGCAATTGCACAATTAAAGAGGACTGTCACCTTGTTACAATGATACAATAACCTCTTGAAGACCGGGGTGTTAAACCCCCTTCCTGGCCAGGCCATTTTCAGTATTCAGGGCTACAGTACTTTGACTGACATTTATTTACTCATGCAACGCTGTAGCAAAATTAATATTATATCATGTTTTAGGGACAAACAGAGCTTCCTTTCGGTGGTATTTATTCACCACTATTTAAATTTTTTACTATATAAAGAAAATTGTGGGGAAAAAAAACTGTGTTCCCTACGTTATGTCATGAAACGTTTATTATTACCCAATTCTTTGGGTAAAATATAAAAGATGGTGTGATGGGGTGACATGGGTATGGCGCCGCACAAATCGAAATGTAGAGGAAATAGTCACCCGCACACCAAAGTCCAATGCATCAATACGTCTTTATTAGACACACGTGGCATCACGCGAAGAAGCAATGTTTTGGAACCTTAAATGGTCCCTTCATCAGGCAAAAACAGTGAGTTTTTTTGCCTGATGAAGGTCATCTATTTAGTGTTAACAGTGATTAATGGTCCTAGAATTATTACCTGCACTCCGTCGTTCACAGTGATATGTAACAAGTGTGGCAAAATCATTGTTTCCTCACATAGAAGCACCTGACACATGTTTGTGTTTGTGTTTGCATGTCCATGTATTAATAAAAAGGGTGGGGGTTTTTTAATACGTGACTTACATTTTTTTTTTTTGTCACACTTAACTTTATTGCTATCACAAAGGGGGCTAACAAACCCCCTATGTGATAGCAAAAAGGATGTGACAGGTACTCTTTATGGAGACATAAGGGGTCGATTAGACCTGTAATGTCGCCTAGGGACCCCCAAAGAAGCTGATGAAGCAGCAATCTGCTTCTCCAGCTACAGCAGCTGGTAGAAATGACAGGGAGTGACACTGGAAGTGGTGTAATGCAAATCTATTCGGGGTCCAGTGACCAGAGTGGAGATCAGCAGCTGGAAGTGTGTATGTAAACAGCCGACACCGGCTGTTTAAAAAGGCTACGGTTTAAAATGCCCACCCGCATTCAAGAGTGTCCTGTCCGGACATTTATTTACAAAGGCCAAACAGGAAGTGGTTAAAGAGCAAGATACCTCAAAACAGCAAATTTGATTTAAAAAATGCTTACGAATATTACTACCTACACTAATAATAATACTTACAGGTCATATTGACCAACTTGTCAACATTAAACTCATCTTCACCAGATGAAAGGTATGTATTACATGTTGTCTGCATGTACTGAAAATAAAACAGATGAGAGAATGTCACATTACATGAGAATTAGGAAAGACAAATTTCTATGGTTATCCAGCAGATGGAGCAGTAACATTAAAGATGAACTAAATCGTTTACTGAGTAACTGTTGTCATAGGATATAAGCACTTAAGTAAATGAACAGCTAATACTTTTTTTTTTTTAGTTTTGGATAGCATCGGTAACGGTTAAGACTCCTGTCAGATGTTTTTTTAATGTCTGATTCCCACACTTCCTGTACGAGAGACAAAGCAGGAAAAGGACATCTCTCCAAAGCAACGGGATATCCCCTCTTAGACAGCTGTCAACAGAACAGGTGTCCCCACTGGAAGATATTCTCTCACATCCTCCTGTTCCTGTGACAGCTCAAAAAGTATGTGTTTTATCACTACTTTCTGTACCAGGGACAATGGTTAACAGGACCAATAGTGGGTGTGAATCTCCCCAGAGGAAACATAGACAGCAATAATAAAAATTAAAAAAATCTGGTAGGGTTTCTTATTCTTTTTCATTCTATCCAAAACTAAAATAAAAGTTTGAATTTACATAGACTTTGAATAGTGAGAAAGTTTAAACAGATGCTGGTGCTGTTATTAACATTATTATATGCATATCACCATTTTGTTATAGTTTAAACTTAAAGGGAAAGGTAAATATAATTAAAGGAGAACTATGAGGTGAGTGATTTTCACTGAACCTCATAGTTCGAGCCGACGTGTGACAATGAAACTGTCACAGGTCGGCTCAATAGATCGGAAAGTGAGCGAACACATACCATCGCTCGCTCACTTCTCGATCATGTCTCTGCACAGAGCTGTGACTGTCACTCATCGCTCACTGCAGGAATTTCCCCCCTCCCCTCTCCGATCCTCCAGCGCTGACTGGCGGAACAGACGTGGGAGGGAGCGGGTACAGCTGGCTTTGCCTCTAGATAGGCAGAGCCAGCTGTCACTCACGCAGCTGGGTGGATCTCGACAGTAATGTCGGGATCCGTCCCGGCTGCGGCTGTCTCAGTATACCGCGAGCTGTAGCTCGCAATATACTGAGTTTTAGGTCACGGGAGGACACTAGTATATGTCCTCCCGTGACCCTTAGGAGAACTATGAGGAAAAACATTTACCCCATAGTTCTCCTTTAAGCCCAAACCATTATAGATTTCCTTTATCTTACAACAACATAAATATGGTCAAGTTACATTAAAAATAACTCAGAAACATAAAGCATGGAAAAAACAGACGCTGACTCTTTAGTTAAGCAGCTAATAGTCCCATTTTCCATATGCAGATGCCCAATCAGTAAATGACAACACCTATCTGTTATGTTCTTAAGACACATATATTGAAATGGATATTAATACAAACATTTACCTGTGTAAGAATGTTGATGCCATTGATCTTGAGAAGCACCCCCTACATTAGAAATAATTGTCTGTAAGTGATGTGTAGTCATTTCTGATTAAAGTAAACCTGGGCAAAACAAACTAAAAACATGGTAAAAATGCATAAGAAGATGTTACAAGAAGTGGTCCATCAAGTCTGCCCCTTTTTTATTTTTTGGGGGGTTATTCTTTTTGGTTTTTTTAACCTTTTAATTTGAGTATACATTTATGTTTGCCCCAAGCATGTTTACATTTATATAGTTAACAGTAAGGGCTCGTTCACACCAATAGGGGTGACTGGTGTTTTTCAGCAACTGATCAATGCTAGTTACCACATGGGCACATAGAAAACAAGTGTGATGTGCAGCGCTGCCTAGAAAATGGAAACATGCTGCATTTTTTTGCAGTACACTGGATGGAACTGCGGGTCACCGAACCACAGCGTTGTACACCGTGCTGCTGTGCAGAGACCAAAATGAAGTGTATATGTTCTGCCCCCTAAAAAGGTAAAAAAATATACATATATATTAAATAGCATGATGTTCCCATGGGACCTCGCTCAGCACACTAGCCAGCAAGCTAAAACATAGAACAAACCTTAAATATGCTTGAGACAAACACAGATCTATACTAAAAATTACTAAAAAAGGGGGCAGACTCGGTAGACAACCTGTTCTTTTTCTGCTGTTACTCATCTATGTTTCTATGTAAGGCTCAGTAAATTTATAGATGCAGGAAAAATGATATGCGCATCTTAACCTTTTTTTTGTAATCTAAATTTTGTCATGTCCTGTCCCAACTTGAAGCTTCCCTACTGGCCAGTGAGTTTGCCCATCACATTGAGACTGAACTCAAGGCAGATACAAAAAAACACACAGTAATGCAGCTATATATTGATTATTATATCAATACATTTAATCCCCTGCACAAGAGTACACAAGAGTACTCAAGAGTACTCAGACTGCATGGTACAGATCTCTACTAGTGGCCAATCAGGTGAACTGCATGTAAATATGCAGAAAATAGAAAAAAAACAGGACAGAAAATGGGAAACCTTACAGGAAGAGAAAGTAGAGTAGAGGGATGCCCTTATCACGAGGCTGGACAAATCCCAGGAGCCAGGTAGCCAATGCTCCATACAAATTGTAGCTGGCACCTTCTCTAGTTGTTGTCAATGGAGCCGGCTCTTAAAAAAATCCTGCTGGCCCCTGGATTGGATAGACTGGTTTTCTGAATCCCATATTAATTTGTCCACCCCTACCTTATCAGACTTCTTCACTGTCCAATCAACAAGCTAGAGGCAGATGATGTCTAAACCCAAGAACAAAATGTAATTCACTGCAGCTTACCAGTCCTTAGATGATGTGGCAGCATTGGTTTCCTTTTAAAAGGCCACTAATTCAGCTACCACATCAAGGGACTGGCAAGCTGCAATATGATCCATTTTTATTTTGCGGTTTAGATACTCTATTTCCTATACTCCTTGACTACATCTAGTGGCATGAGTGCTGTGCAAATAGCATTTGCCCAGAATATGGCTGAGCATAAGATTTATAAATAAACCCTTTACATTTTTATGTATAGCCAAAACTTTTCTTTTTCAGTTTGAGATGGAATAGGGAAGGGTAAACCCCCTTTTGGTCTATTATTTGCTGTCTCCGACCCGTTAGAGATATTTCCCTTCACTTTCTGTCCAACGGACTCAAGCTTTCATGAAAGGAAATCTATACAAAGTGAGGGGAAATCCCCTCTTAGACAGCTGTCACTGTATTAGGTGTCCCCAACAGAAGATTTTCCCTTCCTCTTTTTCTGGTGAAGTTTTTACCTTTACTTTCTGTCTCAGTGATAAGGGTCAGCAGAACAAAAAGAGAGGGAGAATCTACTTTACAGGACACAGACAGAAATAGAAAAAAATAAATAGCTTTTAATCCTTAACTACTCTCTAGTGGTCAACTGTTTTTAGATCAGACCCAATGTCATTATTCACGGACACGAAGGCCTAAGTGCCAATTTTTGGGGACATCAAAAGAGAGGGTTACCCTGTGCATTGGACTGCATATACTGTACAGTATATGACTATCTGGAGTCCCCAAAACCAGATTCTACAAGCTCATTTGGGATTAGTTGACATACATATTTAAGATATCTGTCTCTTAAAAGTAAAGGGGTAAAGTGAGGATATTCAGGGGACATCTGCTATAATCATTTACACTTCATTCGGAGTCTGCCTGTTGCACAAATATATTTGAATCATTCATATTATTTTACAATCTGTGTGCATGTATGAGTGGCAGTTTTATTACCACCCTTTAGTGTTCATGAAAATAGATAAAATATTAAAATTCTTGTCACGGGCTGAAAATCACACAGGAAATTATTATCAAGAATTAAACAAAACGCCAGCAATTTTCACGAATGCTTCACAAAGTGTAGGCTGTGATAAAGGGTTACATTTACAAATGATGGAAATTCAAATTGAAGAGACAATAAAAAGGCAAAAGCAGAAGTTACCTTCCGTGAAACCATATGCCAGAATGATCAGTAGTACTGGAAATAAGCAGCAGCTCATACCAAGCTTCCTCTATTGGTCATTGAGGAGGGTCAAGGCCTGAGGTCAGGAGTGTCAGGTTGAGACATGCGCATAAAATCCACTACATCTCTGGATCTACTTATCATTTTAATATGTGGTTTTCAAAAAAGGTAACCTTTGTCTATGTATATTTTCCCTATATTCTTACTTTCAAATGCTCAGTCTTGTGACAGGTTCATATTAAGAAACAAGGTTCTGTAACATTGCCTAAACATTTTTGCTTCACATATACTGTCAAAACCCTCCATTTATGACAAATATACAAAGTCAAAACCCAAAATGTACATCATGATGAATGCACCTGATAGAATAGGTCCCGCATTAATAGCCGTAAACAGATCAACACTCGAAGCAAATGAACGGACGGAGCTCTGTCAATCCATTCTCTGCAATAGGAACCATATACGACATAAACATATTACATTTATATCTTACATTCTGCCTACAAACAATATGAATTGGGTAGCACCATATATCTAATACCGAAAAATGATTCAGACCAGGCATTGTTTCATCATTTGCATTTTCCCATAGCTGAGTGCACATATTAAATGAGATAATTGTGCAATAAAGTGTCTCTATGTAATATTTTACTGTTTAAGTGCCAAGTAGGATCTGAAGCCCAGTGAGACATAGCCTGTGTGGGATCTCCGAGTAGGCTGTGATACTCTGCATATCTGAGGTTATTAATGGCTGGTCTGGGAGGACGGCCAATGTGGATAATAAAATTATTCAGATTTGGAAAAATGGAAAGACACTGACCCATAAAACTAGAAGAGAATGCTTGGAATCTTAACACTTCAGCCATGTAGATATTTTCAGAATTCCACACAGCTGCACATTTCAGACACTGCAGAGCCCACATTATGCTCACAGAACTCATTTTAAACTCTACGTGTTCTTGAAAATAATATTACTACACACTATATAAAGACATATTATCTTATACCTCAGGGAATAACTGTTTTTATTTTACAGTATTAAGTCTGAAGGAATTCTATGGAAGACTAAGGACAACCACGACATGAATTCAGAAAAGGAGCTACTTCATATGACAAGATAAATGACTGAACTCTTTATCCATATATACAGTCCTAGTCCTAGTTTTAGCATCTTTAATAGTTCACTAAAATATTCCTCTTAGTTGGTCCTTTCAATGTTCTGCATTAGTGTGTCAAAAGAATAAAAGAGCATATGTTACAGTTCCAAACATTCCTATTGCAAAAAAAGTAATACAATAAGATATCTGAATGTCCTTAAATAAAGTACCATAACAATAGACCACTTTCCATTTAAAAAAATGTTGAGCTCTCTGTAGATATATAGCCCAGCTCTTAAATTGGTACTGAGCCACCACAGAGTACCATGAGCACTTACCATAATGTGCAAACATTATGGCAAACTTACCTCTTGGCTTGCCCTCCTCTAGGGATGCAGGGTGCGTACTCCCTTTTGCTGCTCTGTCACTGCTGCTGCCACCTTCTTTGCTAATTCCTCTGGAATGGCATCTCCTTTCTTTGTCCATTTGTGCAATTAAAAAAATTTCCAAAAAAACTCTACTTGCTAGCAATTTGTTTTTGTTTTTTTATGGGGAGATTTCAGTTCAATTCGAATAAACAATATAAGAAACATGTGCTAATGATCACTGGCAAAATGGGGTCTATTTATAACTGATTCGCAGAGCCGTTCGCCCTGTGAATCTCTGTGAACATTTGCTCTGTACGAATAAAGGCAAAAATGAACGTTCTTAGTATATATTATTTTCAGATCCAATAAATTGTGATGTAATACTGCATTATGGCTACAAATGGAGCTGAGGAGCATATTAAATAAATAATTTTCTTTTCAGATTGAATGTAATGTAATACTGCAATATGGCCACTAGATGGCATTCAGCATAGGAAATAAGTACAGTAAACTCCCAGTTATCCGGCACCCATGGGGATTGTAGATGCTGGATAACTGTGGTTTCTGGTTGCTTGAGAGTTACTATTAGCTCTAAAGCAACAAAACTCACCCCCCCTTCCACCACCCTATTTTTTTGTTAGCTAGATTCTGCTATTGGCTTTTTCAAATTGCTATAGTCATTAGTGGGCTGGCTATTGCACATGTCCACTGCTCATTGACATTCACCTGCCAGCTGAGGAATCTAGCCATCAGTCGCAAAATAAAATTAGTTGCTAACATTGGGAACAATTTTTTTTAGTGTGCACATGTCTATCAAGCACCTGGCAAATAAAAAAAATGTAAGATATGTGTGCTCCATTTTTTTTTCTGGTTGCTTGAATGCTAGATAATGGGGAGTTTACTTTATTTATGTTCAATGCTTCTCACCTCCATCTAGTAGTCATAATGCAATATTACATTCAAAATTACATTTTGCATCTATTCGCACGGACCGAACATTCACAGAGATTCACAGGGTGAATGGATCTGTGAATTGTTTAGAAATAGACCCCAGTGTCTAGGGTGAACTAAACTAGTTAACTGAAACTGAAAAGGCTATACAGAAGCAATAAGGCTGGCCAAGGGACAACCATACTAATAATGGTTGTGATAAATAATGTGGTTTAACCTTCAAATCTTAAACCATGGCAAGAGTGAGCAGAGCAACAAGACATTAGGTGGGTGTCCTACATCATCAAGGTCTGTCTCAAGGAGAAACTTCGTGGCAGACAGATGTTTCCAGATATGTTGTACATGAAGCACAAAAGGACATCTGCCTGTTTCTTAATTATCAGCTACCAGCTCCAAAACACTGCCTAGTTAAATCACCATTCCCCATATTTATACATTGCCAACATATTACACAACATCCTACAGAGACCATTCTCATCAATCTCTTCCCTAGAGCAACGTAAACCCTAATGACCTAATTACATTTGGAAAAAACAAATTCACTTACCAGATTGTTGTTGGACTGTGGGAGAAAAGTTAACTTATAGTAATAATGCAAGATGGTCATCAACCAACATTTTCTGAAGGAGAAGTTAGCATTTGCAGCCTCCATGTTTCTCTCATGGCAGGTTTTCAGTTAAAAACGAATCACTATACACATAAAGTAAATCTTCCTTACCTGCATCCCAGCCTGTTCTTCACTAGTGCCATAAAGATATCAAGAAACAGGTTGTGCTGAGAATGTTGGCTAAAATTCCTTTCATGTTTGAAATAAACACTGGAAATAGTTCCAAAATGAAAAAGCACAATTAGTCTGAGTCAAGGTAATGTTTTAAACCCAAGTTACTAAATAAATCACTTACCTGAATTTTTCAAGTTCTATGGATTCAGTGGACTCTTGCCAGTTGTGCTTGGATGTCTGTGTCTTTCCAAACTTCTGCTGAGACTTTGGTGTACCAGTGGTCTTTAAAGCTGGAAGCTACACATAAAAATATTTTTTTATTTTCCTAAGAACAATTCATTATCATATACTACTGAGCCAAAATGTAGCTGATACTGGAGGAAAAGTATACAAAATGCACACAAAGAAGGATTTTATTTGCATACCACTACCTAGGGGAGTGCCTGATTGCTGCACGCTCTCTCTTCTTCCAATACTATATTTAAACAATTAAACTGCGCTCTGAGCGTTGTTATGACAGGTTGTTGGTCCGGTCACAGTTTAAACAACAGTGTTTGAAAATAATTACCTTGTCTTATTGTGAGCCAGTAGTTGGTACTCAGATGTTACAAAACAATCTAAATATAATTAAATCAGTCCTCGTCCTGATGAAACCAAAACACTGTACATTTACTGTTCTTATCTTGGCATGCTTGAATAGAGAACAAAAAAAGAAAAAGCGAGCACAATGAATGTGCCATGTTTTGGTTGCATCAGCAATGAGACTGATCTAATGCATTTAGATTGTTTCCTAACATATGACTACCAGCTAGCTGCCAGTTTTTTCAAGCACCATGGTGTGAACCGTGACCAGACCAAGGACCTGGAAGAGGAAGGGTGGTAACGACACTAGAAAGCACTGGAGGAAGAATAGTGGATATGTTGCCCATAGTAACCAGAAACTGTCATCATGTAAACTACAATGTGACAGCTGGAATCTCATTGTTACTAAGGACAACTCCATATAATTTTGTATACATCACATACCCAGGTCCCAACCCATTATTGGCTAAATGTTATTCCAATGGGTCTTTTTTGTATTGTATGTCATAATCTTGCAACAGCACAATCTTCTCCAAGCTGTGTGGCTCTTATTCTTAAATCCCATAGGAGTTCTATACTTTCACCTTCCCCTTTCAATACGTTACAAAAAAAATCCAGCTAAAAGACGTGTACTTAAGGTTTGCACTGCTGCATGATCACAGAATAAAAAAGAAAAATACACTATATGGTCAAAAAACGTGAACACCCCTCCAAATTAATAAATGTCAACTGCACAAAGCCAGGTCCATCAAGACATAATAGGAGAACACCGCTACCACCAAAGAAACCAGCTGTCGTCTACCCACCACTGCTCCACAGCAACCAGGCCTTGACTAGGCTGCAAAACACTCTTCAGAGAATGAAGATGTCCGTCCATGGAACCATTTGCAATGATCTGCAATGGTCCAAGCAGACGCCTTAAAATGTTTCACACTCAAAAGTGCTCAATCGTAAGGCCTTTTGATTAAATACCCTTGACTGCAAAAAAAATATTCAGCAAAAAGGTTTTATTGCAGAAGATATTCCATGTTTCTTCTGCAATAAATTCTTCTTACCTCAAGAACTGTTAATGTCCATGGTTTACAGAATGGGATAGATTGATGGTCAGGTGTCCACAAACATTTACCAAATGTTATATTTATATACATGTTTATTTATTTAGGTAATGTAAATTATATGCAGTTCCTACACCCTGCAGTGCTTTGCAGAGAAAAGTAATTCCTTCATATTAGTCCCACCTGATGAAACATACAATGTAATGTATCTACAAAACCCTGTTTTGTTTTAAATGTTTTATTTTCCAGTTATTTTTATGTAAACATCTTCCTTTTTAGAACACTTTAAGATTCTTAGAACAAAACAGAGATAAGTTATGGAGGAAAGCAAATGTGAACAAAACCTGTAGGTCAGTTATAAAGATAGGAAAACAGTGATAAATCCTTTCTGTTGGCAATACACTATCTCTGTCCACAGTCCAAGCATCAGGTTTGCATCAGTTTAAAATAACTTTTGGGTTCATGCAAGGATCTAAACATTCAGACTTAAGTTATTATAGTTGTGCAGGTTCACTAATGAAAAAAATATTAGTCCTTTTATTTAGCTTTACAGACGGTAAGCCTAACAGATCAGCTTGATTGCCAGAGGTCAGCTTAAGTCTAACAGCTACTTCCTATCAACTGGCCGATCTCACACATTGGGGTTGATTTACTAACCTTTTAAACACACCACGAACGTGTATACACCTCTGTAGTGTGTTCCCTCCCAGCATGATCTATGGGAGGAATCGAAACACCTTTGTAGTGTGTACACACCCAGCAGGTGTGTTGTGCAAAGCCCTGCAATGAATTGCAGGGTAATGTGGTGTAAATTAGCTCTATGTTATGTTGCTTGCGTTGATGAATCCAGGAATGTAAATGCATGAGCTAACCATTTTTGTCTAAACTGTGAAGCAGCATTATATATGCATCATGTGCATGATTTTTCCATATATGGCATTAGTGGAAATATGCTTTTAGAGACTTTTTGGTTGATAAATACGTTTTGCTGTGTGAAAATCACACACACCTGGTGTGTGTGTGTGTTTAGGTTAGTAAATCACCCCCATTGTCTCCTAGGTTTTAAAATTACATAACAGGGTCAAATAACAAGTCCTGTAGTTATGTTGAATGTAAACCAGTACGCTACTCTGCTATTTGACACTGTTATACACTCTGGTGTTGGAAGATAGTGTGTGAGGTCAGGAAGTTGACAAGGCAGAACCTGTTAACATGCCCCTAAAAATTCAGATATATTGGCCCCATTGAGTCACTTGGCATCGCCTGAGGTGTGGCAACCTCTATTCTCATCCCTCAGATAAATAACCACTGACACAATTACCTTTTTAGCTATTTTAGCTTTAGTCTGTGAGGGAGGCATGCTTCCAACTGATGTAAGCAGCATTCTTCCCACAGACTCCAAATATGATGGGGTATTCTTACTGCCCCCTATTAGTAACTATTTCCTCTGACCACCAATGTATTCTTCCTCCCACTAACCATCTAGAGTAAAATGTAAGGGAGCACCTTTCCCACTAACCAACTATAATGTCAGAGGACCTTTCTCCCAATACCTACCAACAAAAAGAGACACTGCTCACCAAAGTAAGAAGGAATTGTTCCACTGATCATCAATGTAAAGGGACCCTCCTCCTTGGGCAGCAAATGTAGGCAGGGCGGTATTTCTCCACTGAGAACCAAATGTAAGGGGTTATTTCTCTACTAAGCACCAATGTAAAATGTAAAAAAGTATTTCTCTACTAGGCGCCAATGTGCCTTGTCATCACTGAGCAGCTATGTAAAAAACACTGTTCTCCACTGACCACCAATGCAAGGGGAGGTGTCTTCATTGCTGGCTATTATTATTTTTTTCATTTAATTTCGTTACTATTATTGAAAACCATTTTGTCAAACAGAGCAAGAAGGAAGTTATAAAATGATCTGCCATGGATGTCAAAAAGTCTAGGACTTCACCACATACGTTTATTGACCATTTTATCAACATCTTACTGATAACACAAGGACATACTGTATAATCTGTAAGTAAAATAGTTTTAACAAGGGTTCCCAGAGACCTAAAATCTATTTAAAGAGTTTCTGCATGTTAAAAAAGTTGAGAAAGACTGATATAGTGCCCGATAAGCAGTAACTTCCTGCACAAGGACATAGATTTGAAAGACAGATTTGGAAAGATGTTTGCAATGTATTTACTACACACCATCAGGAGTATAAAACATATTCTGATCATGAATGTACACTATGCTGTGACCATGGTGTAATTAATAGCCATCATCTATATGTATGGGTTGAGAATTACACATATTGACGTCTAGCTAATCTTTGGACAGTATGCACTTGGCAAAGCAGTGTTTCCTTAAAGTGTATCTAAGCTTAGAAACAAACATGTAATATAAATCAGCTTACCAGTCCTTAAATGTGGTATTTGCATTAGTTTCCATTTTTTAGGCTAAGAACATCTTTAGCAAGTACAGAAAATACATGTTGATCTTGCCAGAAATGCAGTGTACTTTTTTTATTACTGTGCCCTTAAAAGACGGCATAAACATTGTTATGTGCAAACTACTAGTGCCATCAATGCACCAGGTAATGGAGATGAACGAAGGCAGACATTTTTGAAGTCCAGCATGTGTAACAGTCATGACTCCTTCCACAGATTCTATAGAGACATGAGTGTAGGCATGAAGGGAGGTTATTGCAGGATCACCAGGGAAGGGAAAAAGGGAGAAAAAAAAGAAAACAAATGCAGCCACCTTATGTAAGGGCTGGTAAGCTTCAATATATTACAATTTTTTGGGGGGGTTTACATACTTTTATCATAAACCTATGTTAACTTCTGCCACTTACATTCAAGAAGCAGAATAAGCTGTACAATGACATTGTGTGCAGCAGACAGGCTAAATTCCCTCCAGTCATGAAGAGGGCAACACCTGCGTTATGCCAGTATGGCAGGAACATTATGCCAGGTCTTGTAGATAAACACATTGCAAAATGAGTCTTGGGTAAATAACATAGCACTGTGTTTACCAACTAATGTGTCCCTGTGGAATAATTTATTTGTACACAGCTATGTATGCTGTCTATCTATGTGTTTTGGGAATACAGGTCTAATTAAAGAAAGACAAAAAGAACAACTTGAAAAAGTATTTTCATATGAAATCAACTTCCACAAAAAGAGTGTAGGGAGCCTGCCCTAAGCTGCACTGTTCCTAATCAAATCTAGTGTGTTTTTGGAGCTAGGCTGTAACCAGCCTGAGTTTAGTTTACATTTGATGGGCTCTGTTGGTTCTAAGCTCTGTGTTGTGTATTGATTGCTTCTTTCTGCTACTGTTGAAGAGGTTTTAGTAGTGTTTGAAGCACAGTCACTAAGTTATGAACATTTGTCAGGCCTAATCAATCACTGATGTCTTTGAGGACTGGGACAATAAATATTTGGAGTACCTTTCCAGAGTGTTATTTTCCCTTCTGGGCTCCTGCCTGGAGGGGATGTCATTATAAACCGATCTTACTCTTCTGGGCTCTGCCTTAGCCCTGCGGCATGTGCTGAAGGACCAGGAATTTAGCTGCCCTGTTGGAGGGTATTTATCCAGAGGGAGCTAGGCAAGAAGATGGAAGCTTGGAAGGAGCATCTGTAAGTAATCTTGTATACTGGGTAGAAGCTATTCCTGAACATTGCATTGTTGCATGTTATATCACCCAGTAACACCATAATATGCCTTCCAGAAGTGGCATATATAATAGAGCAACAGTATATGATATCACACAGTACCAGGACATTATCTTAATGCATTAACATTATGTTGTAAAGCAACGGTATACTATATCAACCAGAAGTAGTATATTATCAATGGCAACAGAATACCACCCCCATCATATTATATTACACAGCAGCATTATATCCTATAGCAAAGCAATAAGGTGACACCCATCAAGAATATGTAATCAGGTAAAATGTTAATATCCCTCAAAATTAGGGTTGCACAGATACCAAGTACAGTACTCAGTACAAGTACGAGTACATGTACCGATACTTTTGAGCTCCAAGACTACACTAGAGACAAATTCAAAAATTAGGAGGCAGCTGTCATCTGTAAGGAGCACGCGGAGCTCCCGGGATTTGTACATCTCTGTTTTAATGTACGATTTTGTTTTTATAAATATAAATAAAGGGATGCACAGATACCAGCTTTGCGAGTACGAGTACTGGTACTTGCCGAGTACTTACAAGTACGAGTACTGATACATTTTTGTTTATTGTCATGTGACAATAAGTTTTTCTAAAACAATACAGACTAATGATTTCAGGACAGTGGTGGAGCGCCAGAGACAGGTCCTAGCTGCAACCTCTGCAACCCTGGTAGTTCTCATGAAAATGCCAAGTATCTGCACTGGTATTCGAAAAGTATCTGTGCAACCCTACTCAAAATGTAATATATCATGCAACAACAGTACATCAGCAGCATCATTCTAGTTCAGATAGAAAGGATATGACATATATAATTACAAGCTATTTAATATATACAATATTTTATTTAGCAGCATCTCAGTCAAGTGCCATATGCAGAGTGCCCTGGGTAACGCCCAAATGTGGTGATAACCCACCATGATTAAAAGAACTGAAATCCAATGAATAAAAGGTTTAGACCAGGCCCACCCCCTAGTAGATATTAACCTCCCCATAGATATGATGACCTTATTACTTTAGAGCCCCCCCCCCCCTTCCCAACTGCAACTCAGTACTTCGTATCACTTATGCCTCCTCTACTCCACAGCAAAGCGTTCGGCACACCCATATCCCATGGGATGTCCCAACTGGCGGGACGCAGCCCAAAGCCTGCTAACATATTCTTTATTGCAAGAGGTATCCTCCCAAAATGCTGTGCCCATGTAGGCGCACATTACTCTATTGCCAAGAATTGTTCTGTGTTGTCCTGCCCTATGATTGGTTGGTTCCCCAATTATAGGGCAGGACCATACAATGAACTTCCTAGAACTAAAGGGAAATGTGCTTGTCTTTATAAGCTGTAATACATGATAGATGTGCGTGGCTTTACCTGTGGCCCATCACTACTCAATGTCTGTCACTAAGCTCATACAACTGGCATGAATATTACAAGGGGGCAACTGTAAATGACCTGCTGTAAATTAAATCAGCCCCTCAAAATGTCCAGTACTGGGTGGCAGAATCCGCCGCACTTGAAGAACTGGGCACCATCCGGCCACTCAAATTGGATATATTATAATCTGCCTCTGTGCGCAACACTGACTCTCAATATTAATTTATTTACATAATTCTAGATAGACAGAACTTACACACAGTAATTTACCTGCTGCTTGCTTGCTGGAACGTTTAAGAGAGACCAGAGTCTCTTCACATCAAAGCATTTCCTAAAAAAAAAATGCTGATTATCACGTAAACATTTTAAAAGCTTATCAAATCTGAGAATATATAAAGTAAAATGTTTATTTTTTTAAAGCTCCACTTTAATAACATTTACTGAACATTCCTAACTTGAGATATCTTTTAGGAAAACTGTTAAATTGGTAACTTTATATTCACACTACTTTTGGTTTGACAAACCTTGATGATGCTCCATGATTTTTCTTTTCAGTCGCCCTTTCCGTTTTTTTCCCTTTTTCATCCTGATCCGGCATCATCAGACCTCAGATCATTGAACTGAAGTGGTTAGTCCTAAAAATGATAAACAGATAAGAAATACATATCTTTTTGACCCTTCAGTCTAAAATGATTATAACTATGCAAAGTTACTATGTAAAAGATTTAAAGTGAACTTGTGCCCAGATCATCCACATTCTTGCACATTCTGAATAGCCAGTGAAAGCATTTTAAAACAAGCCTTCATTTATCTGTATATAAGTTTTGTCGAGAAATAACTTTCAAAGATCACAAAACAGGCACTTGCCAGTCTACCAGCCATCTAATGTAAATAACCTACAGAAACGTCTAAAACGTTAGAACCCCAGTCTGAACCCCAACTTTAGGGTCTTTGTTGTGATCTTCGTGGATCTTAGAGAATAGATAACTTCACATTAAAAGCAGCCAGATAGGTGAGTGAGGGTTTGATAGAAAGCTTTTACTGTTTGTTAAGAATATGTAAATAGTTTAATGTCCATAGTCTGGACACAGATGTAAAAATATGCTCCCTAAATGAGCTTCATTTCAATGTCAACTAGCTAATCCCATGCAAATCACTGCAGACTGTCATCATGGGGTGAGGCAGTTGAAGGGGCAGAAAAAATGCTACCAACAATGAGAACCAAGAGTCCGGCTCAGATAGAGTCATTCTAATACACAGCAAATAAATCTTGCTGGTCAGACAATAAAAGAAAGGATCCTTAACTCTTGGCAATGTCGAAAATCTTGATATTCCAGTATTGATATTCAATGATGACCTTATTACTTTAGAGCCCCCCCCCCCCTTCCCAACTGCAACTCAGTACTTCGTATCACTTCAGAGCCTTCCAGAATTAACCAACCCTGCCTCCTCTACTCCACAGCAAAGCGTTCGGCACACCCATATCCCATGGGATGTCCCAACTGGCGGGACGCAGCCCAAAGCCTGCTAACATATTCTTTATTGCAAGAGGTATCCTCCCAAAATGCTGTGCCCATGTAGGCGCACATTACTCTATTGCCAAGAATTGTTCTGTGTTGTCCTGCCCTATGATTGGTTGGTTCCCCAATTATAGGGCAGGACCATACAATGAACTTCCTAGAACTAAAGGGAAATGTGCTTGTCTTTATAAGCTGTAATACATGATAGATGTGCGTGGCTTTACCTGTGGCCCATCACTACTCAATGTCTGTCACTAAGCTCATACAACTGGCATGAATATTACAAGGGGGCAACTGTAAATGACCTGCTGTAAATTAAATCAGCCCCTCAAAATGTCCAGTACTGGGTGGCAGGACAGCCATAAGCCCCCCTTGAAGAACTGGGCACCATCCGGCCACTCAAATTGGATATATTATAATCTGCCTCTGTGCGCAACACTGACTCTCAATATTAATTTATTTACATAATTCTAGATAGACAGAACTTACACACAGTAATTTACCTGCTGCTTGCTTGCTGGAACGTTTAAGAGAGACCAGAGTCTCTTCACATCAAAGCATTTCCTAAAAAAAAAATGCTGATTATCACGTAAACATTTTAAAAGCTTATCAAATCTGAGAATATATAAAGTAAAATGTTTATTTTTTTAAAGCTCCACTTTAATAACATTTACTGAACATTCCTAACTTGAGATATCTTTTAGGAAAACTGTTAAATTGGTAACTTTATATTCACACTACTTTTGGTTTGACAAACCTTGATGATGCTCCATGATTTTTCTTTTCAGTCGCCCTTTCCGTTTTTTTCCCTTTTTCATCCTGATCCGGCATCATCAGACCTCAGATCATTGAACTGAAGTGGTTAGTCCTAAAAATGATAAACAGATAAGAAATACATATCTTTTTGACCCTTCAGTCTAAAATGATTATAACTATGCAAAGTTACTATGTAAAAGATTTAAAGTGAACTTGTGCCCAGATCATCCACATTCTTGCACATTCTGAATAGCCAGTGAAAGCATTTTAAAACAAGCCTTCATTTATCTGTATATAAGTTTTGTCGAGAAATAACTTTCAAAGATCACAAAACAGGCACTTGCCAGTCTACCAGCCATCTAATGTAAATAACCTACAGAAACGTCTAAAACGTTAGAACCCCAGTCTGAACCCCAACTTTAGGGTCTTTGTTGTGATCTTCGTGGATCTTAGAGAATAGATAACTTCACATTAAAAGCAGCCAGATAGGTGAGTGAGGGTTTGATAGAAAGCTTTTACTGTTTGTTAAGAATATGTAAATAGTTTAATGTCCATAGTCTGGACACAGATGTAAAAATATGCTCCCTAAATGAGCTTCATTTCAATGTCAACTAGCTAATCCCATGCAAATCACTGCAGACTGTCATCATGGGGTGAGGCAGTTGAAGGGGCAGAAAAAATGCTACCAACAATGAGAACCAAGAGTCCGGCTCAGATAGAGTCATTCTAATACACAGCAAATAAATCTTGCTGGTCAGACAATAAAAGAAAGGATCCTTAACTCTTGGCAATGTCGAAAATCTTGATATTCCAGTATTGATATTCAACCTTCCCCTCATACATGTATACCTTGTTAGCTGTGGTCTACAGATTGTCTACATGATTCACCACCATCCTCATATCAGGCCACTTCTCTCTGTAACTAGTGTCAGTCAGGGCAGTCTCTGTCTGTAATGTGAGGCAGGCTTTCTTGACATTTCAGAAAGATCCTATCTCGTTTAAATCCCACATGTTTGGAAAATCTTTCTCTCTTTTAGACAGAGTCTAAGCAGACTCTGTCTTTAATTTGGAAGTATGGATGATGTCTAACTGTAAGCCTGTAGTCTGGGTGGTCTATCTGTAACACTGCAGTCTGGGCATCTCTATACGTAACTTGGGAGTTTTTCTCTGTAAATTGGCAGTCTGGACAGTCTCTCTCTCTTTCTCTCTCTCTCTCCCTCTGTACCACTGCAGTCTGGGCAGTTTCTATCTGTAACATAATAGTTTGAACAGTATCTTTGTAATGTCACAGTCAGGGAACTCTCTTTCTGTAACTTAGCAGTATCTTCCGATAAATTGCCAGTCTTGGTCAACACCAAAGTCTCTCACTTTGTAACGGGGTGGTCTGCACAGTCTCTCACTCTGTAATGGGGTAGTGTGAGCAGTCTCTCACTTTGTAATGGGGTGGTCTGCACAGTCTCTCACTCTGTAATGGGGTAGTGTGAGCAGTCTCTCACTTTGTAATGGGGTGGTCTGCACAGTCTCTCACTCTGTAATGGGGTAGTGTGAGCAGTCTCTCACTTTGTAATGGGGTGGTCTGCACAGTCTCTCACTCTGTAATAGAGTAGTCTGAGCAGTCTCCCACTTTGTAACGGGGTAATCTGAGCAGTCTCCTACTCTGTAATAGGGTAGTCTGAGCAGTCTCTTACTTTGTAATGGGGTGGTCTGCAGTCTCTCACTCTGTAATGGGGTGGTCTGCACAGTCTCTCACTCTGTAATAGAGTAGTCTGAGCAGTCTCCCACTTTGTAACGGGGTAATCTGAGCAGTCTCCTACTCTGTAATAGGGTAGTCTGAGCAGTCTCTTACTTTGTAATAGGGTAGTCTGAGCAGTCTCTTACTTTGTAACGGGGTGGTCTGCAGTCTCTCACTCTGTAATGGGGTAGTCTGAGCAGTCTCTCACTCTGTAACTTAGCAGTCTGTTAATGTAACTCAGGAATCTGGGCAGCTTAAACAGTCTCTCTCTCTCTCTCTCTCTCTAACATGGCAGTCTTACAGCCTTTCTCTCTGTGTAACCTGCCAGTCTGGGTAGTGTCTCTCCATACCTTGTAAATGTATTGTAATGCGCTATGTATGATCTGGTACCACCCTAGGTAAGCTCTGGTATCAGATTGTGTTGGAGCTTACCAAGGTGGATGATGTTGCTACTCCCCTCCTTTCCCCCCTCTGCCCTGAAAACGCAAAGTAGCAGTGAATCTTGTTATGAGCTAGTTCTGAAAGCGGGTTAAGTGGACAGATACATAAAGCTCTCAGCCGAATACTATTATAAATAGCTAATTAATCAGATATAGTAAACAGTCTTGATCAGGCCTATGCAAGAGTAAGTGCTATATATACATAAATATCTATATATCCTGTATTAGGATGGCTCCTATGGAGCCACCCTTCTGAGTGCTAGTAAAGCTGTGTGTGTCTCCACAAACACACAGGCACAGCAAGGAAAGCCACTGTACTCCTCCCTGCACCTCATTTCTCTCTCCCTGCTTCTCCAAGCAAGTAACTGGACAGTTGCTGGAGTCTTTGCTCTCCATTGTGGTCTTGTACTGGACAGGAGGTTCCGGGAAGCTGAACTGAGAGAGTTGGAGCCAGATGGTTGGATGAATGCAAGTGCTTGAGTAAAAATATAAAGAAATACTTTGCTGGAGAGTGTATATTTGTTTGATCGGGATTCATTATTGAAAAAAGTCTGGGAGAGTTTCATACTACTTAATAGAACCAGGATGATCTGGTGACGAGATCACCAGAGACAGAAGAAACCAGTGGGTGATTCAGCCCACTGGCATCCACCCAAATCTGAATTTTTTGGGGGGCAGGTGGATCAGAGTTGCAATCCTCATGGTGAATAGTTTCTTCACACAGAGGGAGCTGTCCACTGCTTTCTCTTTACCTACACTTTTATCAAATGGCTATATAAACAGCAGGCCAACTAAAAATACATTGATAGTATGCTGTCATTGCAGGGCGAGGCAAATAACACAAGATGCAAGCTAGGTAAACATATTATAAACAAAAGCACAGACATAGCCAACATATTACAAAATATTTGTTTATCCAAGAGAACGCCTTAACCGCCACTACATTGACACAGATGCCATTAGGAAAGAACTAGCACAGGCGTGATAAGCTAATCTTCAGAGTGTCATTGCAGCTAGTTTGTATTTTATTATAGGTATTAATATCCCAGATATCAAATTCTGACATCGGCAAAGTGTTTGCTGTCTGAGGCAAAGTAAGCTGAAAGTGGAACAAGCCTAACTGATAGCTTCTAGAATATATATTTTGCTG